CATCGGAAACAAAAAAGCGAAAGAATTTGAAACGTTTATCACGATGTCAGTCAATGTGTCAGTCGGTAACGCGTGAGTGAATAGTGGTGTTTGTTGCGTGACTCAAACGAAATAAAAAATGGCACATGTTTACGAAAATGCTGAACTTGTGGACATGATTCTTATTTACAAAATGCTGCCGCGGCATCACGGATTTATGCGAATCGGTTTCCCAATCGAGTGCAACCAACCCCTCGTGCCTTTGTTAATGTAGTACAAAGGGCTCGTGAATCAGGTGACTTAAGACCTCACAGGGGAGGGCATGCCGGTGCTCCAAGACCGCACGATCAAATACAGGTCCGCACTGAAATACTTGTTTGGAGGATACTTTATAAAACAATGTAACATTTTTTTTTATTTTTTTTTATTTTTACACACATATTTTGGTTTATCTTCCTTCTGCAATCATTATCTGAAAATTAATGACTCAATTTCAAAGTCACCCTGTATAATGGAGCACATCAAATGGATCAGTTTAAGGTAGTTGTACACTCTATCCGTAGCAATCGGATTACTGATGTAGTCGTTTGCATTCTTTAGCATGTGAATTTTCGGTGATTTGCACTGATGACAGATTGAAAAGGCCAGATACGATGCTGTGATGCATGAAGTATTCTGAGAATACCCCTCGAATTTTCCTCTGGCTCAATCGTTCAGGAATATACAGGGTGTCCCAGAATATGTGAATCAAATTGCCATGGGAGATACCTTAGATAATGACCTCTCAATTGCGGTACAGACCTGACAAAACAAAAAATCAGTTTTTTGAAAAAGTATGACTTTGGTCAAACTTTCGACGACAGGTGCCGCGTTTAGGTTTTATTTTCATTTTTTTTCACTATTATTATTAGCGAATGATTGAAGCATGAAACTACAAACAGTTTTATTCTAAAAGTCACGTAATTTTGAAATCGCAGCGCTATTTTGGAATTTTTTTTTGCATCAGAAAGTTTCTTGTAAGTTCGACTAACAGTGGCATAAGAAAAATGTATGGGACTTGTTTGGCAAACCTCTCCGAAAAATAGCCCAGTTAATGAAGATTCGAAAATGGTACATATCAGGTAATTTACCTCAACAGAGTAGGAGAATAAAAATTCTTAGAGTGCAAGGGCGAAATTGGTCAAATTTCAAAATTACAATTTTTAAATCATAATTGCCTGTACGTTCAAACCATTGCGTGAAACCTTAGAATCGGCATCAAAAAGTTGTTTCAAAGTCCGGTAGACTGAACAAAACACCTGCTAGCTCGCTCAAGGTCGGCTAAAATTATTTGTGGTGTCGCGCTTATTCCCAGAATTTAAGAAGGGGGGCAGGGGCAGGCAGCGCTGGTCAAAACTGGATCGCGATAACAATACTGCCTCACTCTAGCGTTTTGTGTCATTAGTGATGTTGACGGAACGGGGCCCCCCGCGGCGGCGCGATGCTGATCTCACTCTCATCCTTTTTATTCAGTACGACGTTTGACGCTCTGTGCTACACCTGTGTTCTAATGTCTCCTGTGATTTAACTGTTACGATCTTGGCTCTACTGTAGACTTTGAACATTTTTTGCTCGTGATTCGGATTTGTTTGATGAATCTCAACGACTTGGCGCTACTGTGGAAATTGATTTTCTGCACATTATGGCTAATCGACGACCAGATGAACATTGTTACACGGCAAGCGAGTATGCTGACATGCATCTTGTTTATGGAGAAACAAGGCGTGTTAACACTAGATGTGGAGCAAGTTATTCTGCCAGGGAAGCTGTCAGGATTTACGCTGAGCGGTATCCGAACCGTCAGCACCCAGATTATGGAGTATTTTTAAGAGTACACAACGCTTACTCACAGGGTCGATTTCCTGGTGGTCCTCGTAGTGAAGGAAGACCTTGGAGACATAACGACGATGTTGTTGTAGAGCACGTAACAACGGATCCGTCGACGTCGCTGCGCGCTATTGAACGAAGAACTGGCATTCCAAGATCATCGGCACACCGAATACTGCAAACGTTAAGATACCATCCGTATCATGTGCAAAAAGTGCAGTCTCTTTTAAATAGAGGTTATGCACCGCGTGTACAATTTTGCCGAAAAATGATCAAGCTAAGCCGAGAAGACCCCAACTTTTTTAATCGAGTTTTGTGGAGTGACGAATCCACTTGTAAGAAAGATGGCTACACAAATCTCCACAATCTACATAGCTGGCAAATATCAAACCCTTATTTAATAAGAGAGGACCGTTCTCAGTACTCGTTCTTAATCAATTTATGGACTGGGATTTTTAACGGCAGAATTGTGGGTCCAGTGGAATTACCTGCAACATTAAATTCGGCAAATTATTTAGAACTATTGAGAGACACATTGCCGAGACTTTTAGCAAAAGAACCAGAGAATTCAATACAAACAATGTGGCTACAAAATGACGGATGCCCAGCCCATTTTGCACGTGAAGTGAGGGCCTACCTTGATGTGGCTTTTCCTAGGCGGTGGATTGGCCGTCTGGGGCCAATTCTATGGCCACCAAGGTCGCCAAACCTAAACCCTCTAGATTTATTTTATTGGGGTTGCCTCAAAGATAAAATTTATTCGCGACTGAACACACCGATTGGATCCCTGGAAGAATTACGAGAGCGTATTAACCAGGCTGCACAACAAATTTCTGTTATGAGCTTGCGGCGCCTAAAACAAAATTTTTTGAGATGTGCATTGTGTATTCATACTGGTTGCAGACACTTTGAATATCTTTTATGAGAATCGTAATTGGTTACTTCTTTATTGATGTTTTTGGTTGATTAAAGTTGAAAATTGAAAGTACTTTTCTGTGTTTTCTTAAGTTTATCTTACATTTAAACACCAGTTTTTGACTCTTATGCTTTTTTAAACAAGTATTGAGCTGTGTAACAATAGTTTGAACATTCGAGCAACGTGAAAAGCAATTATGATTTGAAAAGTGTAATTCTGAAATTCGACCCATTTCGCCCTTGCACTCTAAGAATTTTTATTCTCCTACTCTGTTGAGGTAAATTACCTGATTTGTACCATTTTCGAATCTTCATTAACTGGGCTATTTTTCGGAGAGGTTTGCCAAACAAGTCCCATACATTTTTCTTATACCACTGTTAGTCGAACTTACAAGAAACTTTTTGGTGCAGAAAAAAAATTCCAAAATAGTGCTGTGATTTCAAAAACTGTTTGTAGTTTCATGCTTCAATCATTCGCTAATAATAATAGTGAAAGAAAAAATGAAAATAAACACTAAACGCGGCACCTGTCGTCGAAAGTTTGACGAAAGTCATACTTAAACTGATTTTTTGTTTTAACGCAAATGTTACACGTTTTTTTGTCAGGTCTTTACCGCAGTTGAGAGGTCATTATCTAAGGTATCTCCGATTGCAATTTGATACACATATTCTGGGACACCCTGTATAAGGTACTTGACTCAAATAACGCGATGCCCCTAGTAACGCCAAAAGCCATCATTCACTAATCCACCAATGCAGTTCAAAAACTGTGATATAGTTTGGTAGGTTTCTATCCAGGAACGCAATGGTATATAAAAAACTTCTTCCTGAATGCAACAGGTGTCGCCACATTTACCAACAACAACGTTGTTGGTGGTAAAGTTTTTGTCAAGGACTTTGTTGTTTAATATTTAATCATTGTGTGAATTATTTTTGTCGATCTATACGTCATTTTTGGTAAGTTTTAAATCCAGTTTATAGCTGGAATCAAAACGTAAACAGTTTTTATAAAATTGGCACTATACATTTTAGCTTGAGTGCGCCTAGTAACGCTAGCCGAGAATCTTTCGATGGCGATAAATTAAAAAAAAAAGAGACCCAAGGTGTTATGGAAGCTAGTGAAATTCACCGAAAGAATGGAAGGAAAATAGAAGATTTTTTAAGCTTGTCCAGTTCTTCAAATCAAGCTGATTAATTTGAAAATAATCTTGATAGACAGGAAAATGAGGCACAAAACATTGAAGAAGCCATCAAGATGAATCCGGAAGAAAGAGCGAATAAAATTTGTGAAGAAAACAGGAGAGAATTTGACACAGAAAATAAAAAAACCGAAGTAAAAGTTAAAACAAGACAACAAGAAAAACCAAAAGTCAAGCAATAATCACAGAAAAAGTAAAGACCAAAAAGGGACACAAAATTATCAGAATGATAAAAATAACCGATGCTTGACTGAGTTTATTCCAACTTCTGATATTAAGACAACGTCAAGTGTGAAAAAGTGCAAAGCAATTAGCTCAACGGCACAAGTTGTTGTCAGATATTTTTTCTCTACAAAAGTTTAACTCCAAGAAATTTGGTATTGCTTTTTTTGTCAAGAAGGTCGGATTTGTGATATGCGTCTATGTCTCTTTTGTAACCGTTATGTTCACGAAGAGTGTGTAGGTTTATCGTAAAATGATAACATTTCATTTGTTTGTATTGATTGTGAGTCAATAGACTTTAAATAAAAACTTACGTTGATACTCCTCATTTTCTATTTTTACCTACATACCTAGTCAGCTTTATACATTTTTTAAATAAAATTTGGGAAAATGCGCCAACTGCAGTGTATATAAAAAAAACGAAAATTTGTTAGTTTGAATTGTTATAAAGAAACATGAAACTATAGTTTTTATTCTAATATATGTAGAGATAATAATTACCAAGATTCATAAAATTTTTAAAGTTGTTTAGGAAGCTTTGCAAAATCAAACGTTAATATGGCGTTATTTGGGTCAAGTACCTTACATTCTCCGCGGAATATTACAAAAAAGTGAAAATGGGAATGCAGAATACATCAATATTCAAAGAGGAATATTCTATAATTGTCTATTTGCACTTTCCTGGACTGTTACAAGAATATGCATAAACATTCTAATGGATCTCTCTATGGATCTTTATAGTAGGAATATTCATCTTCGCTGACTTATTTTTAAAAACATTAGCATCTGAAAGTGCTTTTTCAAATTAGCAATAACTACAACATATTCAATAATACAATCCCCATGAAACCTTCAACTTATAAATAAATGTCTCTTAACCAATAAACTAAAATAATAGTAACATTTATCATATATGTACCCATAACAAAAGCTCCTTCGGTTTGTCCAATATCAATTAGTGGACTCATACTATCTCCAACATCCTCGATGATATCAACTCTGCGAATCAGTTTCTGACCAGTCAGAATATCTACTTCCACCTCAGTAGCACATAAACCGTATATTGGATATCCCTGAACACCAGGCGACTTTTCTTGGATGCTGAAAATAGAGTTATAACAGACTGATGACTAGTACCTGCAGTACGTAAATGAAAAAGTGACATTATATCGATTTTTTATGACACTACGTAGGCTTTTTTGGTAGGTTACATGCCGTTTAGGAACTTCATTTCATGGCATACTGAGATATTTGGCAAAAACTAAAATTTGACCAAACCAGTTTTATACAGGGTATAAACGTTATGATAGTCATTATTTAGATGGGTGATAGAGGGGGTTAAAAGGAGCAAACAGTTTCATATAACATGGGGGTCAAAATGGCATTTTTTTTGGAGAAAAGCCACTTTAAAGTAAAATAAAATTTGACAACGCCGCAATGCCAGACGCAAATTACGACAGAACGCAGGGTAAATAAAGATGGAGTTTGTTATTTTTGGCTCTTAGGTATTATTTCATTATTTGATAATGTACTCGTAAAATGCAAACAATTAAAATAAAGCGGACTCACCACTAACTGTCTCAGCGCTTCACCTGGTGTGTGAAAGTTTACTGAACGTATTAAAAAATCCACTTATAAATATGGAACACAATTTTGTTACATACAACGTTTTTCTTTTTAAAACCCACACTGCACTTTTTTTGTATTTAAAGAAGGTGTTCAAAATGTCGTCCTCCACTTTCTACACAAGCTTCATTACGAGGAACCCAGTTTCTTCTTACTCTAGGTCCTCGAAGTTGTCCATTTATTATTTCAGCCGCATTAAATTTTTTTTCGCGAAGTTGTTATTGGACCAGCCCCATAAATCATCCCTTTAGGTTCCCCCAATACCAGAAATCCATCGAATTGAGGTCAGGAGACCTTGCTGGCCATTTTCGAGGATCAGGAGCATTTCGACCAATCCAGCGATTTGGAGAGCGTTTATTCAAATACTGAATGACGTCTCTAAAAATGTGTGGTGGTGCCCCGTCTTGAAGAAACCACAGATTCTATCTCCATTGTAATGGCATGTTGTCTAAGGTCTGCTCCAAAAGTTCTGGTAGGTTATTGGCTAGAAAGTTAAGGTATCATTCTCCTGACAACTTTGGGGGTAACTCGAAAGGGCCAATTACCTGATCGTCAAGAATACCCGCCCAAAAATTTATTTTAAAACGTTGCTGGAAATGACCTTTACGAATGGTATGAGGATTTTCTTGGGCCTACGTGTGAGTATTATCGAAATTTAATATCCCGTCATGCGTAAAAGTACATTAGTCCGTCGCTAGAATGTTTTTAGAAAAATCCGGATTTTCAATGTTTTTGTGCAAAAACCACTGGCATAATGCTAATCTGCGAGGATAGTCACAGAAATGCGCCGAGGTCTCTTCTTCCATCCCGCAGCGCTCACACAAGGGATCCTCAGCCACCCCCATCACGTGCAGGTGACGCCTTAACGTGTTATGGCCAGACAACAGTCCCACCAGCAACCTTAGGTCGGCTCTATCCAAAGATAAGCAGAAACGTCCATCCTCAGCGTTGGGCCCTGCAATGTAGTTCCAGTGCCTGACGTAGATGTCTGGAGATGCTTCTCCATTTCTGAGAATGTTGTCTTGCAGTCCACTTCTCCATTTTCCTCCTAACTCTCAGCGCGGGTACCCCTAAAGCGGACTCAGGACCAACGAGCCTGCTTTCTGATCCTGTCTTCGCCAAAGCGTCCGCCGTCTCTTTGCCTTTTATCCCAGCGTGCCCCGGTACCCACACTAACGATACCAAATGCCCAGCTGCTAGACAATCCAGAGCCTCCCTGCATTGCAACACAAGGCTCGAAGTAATCTTGGCCTTATTAGTCTCAGTTTCTATGCAAGGCCACCAAATCAAGGAGCCGTACAAGAGAGATGAACGCACTATTTTCGTGTAGAGCCAGTGAACCACGTTGGGTTTGAGCCCCCACCTAACACCAACAACGCGTCTACGAGCCCACAATGAATTGCGAGCCTTGTTAACCTTAAATTCAACGTGCTCTATCCAGTTCAGTTTGCAGTCCAGGATAATTCCTAGATATCTTACTGACTGGGATAGAACTAACCTAGTCCCAAAGAAGGTCGGCAAGATAAGCCCGTCAAGCCTTCCTCTCCTTGTGAATAGGATCAGCTCGGTCTTTCCAGCATTGACAGAAAGAACTACTTCCCTACACCATGATTCCAAAGCACGCAAAGCGCCTTGCATAATCTCAGAGATTGTTCCACAAAAACGACCTCTAACTACTATGCTTACATCATCAACATATGCTTGCACGTAGACACCCGCACTGCTTAGCCTACGAGGAGTTCATTCACTACGAGGCACCACAGTAAGGATGATAGAACTCGGCCCTGTGGGCAGCCTCGAGCTACGCTGACGCTGCAGCTTACCTCAATCAGCATAGCTGTTGCTACCCGACCCTCCAGAGTGGATAGGACCCAATTTACTAGGAGTGATCCACCCCGTGCCTAACCAAGGCATTTCTGATGGAGTCGGTTGTAGTGCAATTAAATGCACCTTCAATATCCAGAAAGTGCTAGTTCTCGCTTATCTAGAGTCTTGTCCAGCCTGCCGACCAGATTGTGTAAGGCCAGATCTGTCGATTTCCCAGCTTCGTATGCAAACCGATTGGAATGAATGCCACACCTCACCAGCGGGCCATTTCTCAAAAAATCTGTCAACTATCCTTTCCAAAGTCTTAAGCACAAAAAATGAAAGGGTAATCGGACGAAAATCTTTCGGGCCAGTATATCTAGCCTCTACCCGGTTTAGGAATAAATGCCACTTTAGCCTGCCGCCAGCTTCGAGGTGTGAAGACCAAACATGCTCGAAACTCCTTCAACAGGTCAGGAACGACCGAATCCTGCCCATGCTGTAACATGGCCGGAACTACCCCGTCTACACCCGGGCTTTTGTTTAGAGCAAACGAATCGATCGCCCATACCTTCCTTTCGAAAGTAACAATCTCCCTTGCAGTGCGCCAGTCCTCCCTTGAGGGCCTGCGCAACTGTATGCACTCTGTGATTGACCGCGCTACTGTGGAATCGGGAAAGTGCATATCCATCAGAAGCCTCAGAGTACCTTCCTCGGAAGGATCAGACAGAGATCCTAATCTTGCTCTAGTGCCTTTGCATAGGATTCTGTGTATTCTAGCTGTAGCAGGAATGTCCTTTATGGACGGACAGAAGTTCCTCCAGGATTCCCTGGAAGCTCTTCTAATCTCCTTCTTGTAGTCTCCCCACTGGGGAGACCTTCTCCGGTACTTAACTCTTCCAAGAAGTTTGTGCATAGCTCATTTTCTGTCCTCTAACTCCTTGAACCAGAAGGTTGCCTTTCCAATACGTTGAACTTTGCGTAACGGGCAGTTTTCCTCATACGGAGCAGTCACGTCCCTGCTTAGAGACTCTACGGCTGTTTCTATATCAGGGCCCCTACAAAGGCTGTATGTATCTAAGCTTACTATCAAGGTCTGCCCTAAAGGACGCCCAGTTAGTATGCCTAGGAATCCGAGCATATTTATCTGGAATCTCTCCATCAGTCTTAAACAGGATATATCTGTGATCCGATAGAGAGGGTGTTAGAGACACTTTCCAGTCCCTAATCTCCTGAGCTAAATTGAGCGTACTCAGTGTTACGTCGATAGCCTCTTTTCTGACATTGTTACTGAAAGGAGGGGTGTTACCGACATTCAGAACCTCAAGGTCCGATGACCTTAGGGAACCCCATGAGGTCTTCGCCCCGTCTGTTGGTGTTCGAGCTACCAGACATGACGTGGTGAGCATTGCTGTCGCATCCAATCACGAGGTCGAATCCAGAATCCCTGCAATATGCGACAAGGTCACCCAGTTCCTTAGACGGAGGAGGTTCCCTTGAATCTTGAAGAAGGTATGCTGAGCATACGACCAGGTCTTTGTCAGCTCCTTCCTTCTTATATCTAATTCTAACTGCAACTAAGTCTCTGGAGTTGAGTTTGACATGTATTAATTCTAGTCATTACGCAAGCTCTGGGCTTAGTGTCGGGAGTATCACTAAAAAGCGTATATCCCGGTAAGCTGAGCCAGTTTACTGAACCGTTTCTCAGCCAGGGTTTTGTGTCGCAGCCGCCATCGTCTCCGCTTCCACGAAGGAGTTTTCAGACTCGATTGAAGATTCCTTCGTCGTACGAATCGCTGTCATCGCCGTCTGGGGCGCGTTCAATCGCTGGGTTCGCCACGATGTTTCCTGCGGCTACTCCGCTAGGACCCGCCGTAGTCTTTGGAGGATCCAGCGAGAGCTGCCTAGGCTGACCCGTCCCCTCTGGTCTACCGCCACTGCTCCCGTCGGTCCAGGTTGGTCCGATCCCTGATTAGGAGCCAGGCCTGTTACGGCAGATGTCGCCTCGGTAACTGACTTTTTCTTTTTGCTCAGGAGTGTGAAGACAACCGATCTTCCTCCGCAGCACAGCCAATTGCTGTTACCCTCAAAAACCGTCCTGCTAATGGAATCCACTGAGAGAACAAGACGGACTCCTTTGGGTTCCTCCTTCCTCTTCAGTAGCCTTCATGCGCTGGGAAAGGTTCCAGGATTTTACCTCCTGAGTCTTCTCGTGATGACGTCATTTCTCAGCTTGGGACCCGGGAACCAGGCCATCACGCGGCGGTAAACAGGAAGGTCGCTAAAGCTCATCGTAATGAGCCTTGTACCTTCCCAAGGCCTCAGATCACCCACGTGAGCCTCCAACCATGCCCCAGAGGACTCATTCTCTCAGACAAAGATGGCTGTTCCTCAAGAGCGGTAACAGTCAATGTACCTAGGAAGAGCGCTCTCATCTGGGAGTCCATCTATCAGCACACCGACCGCCTGTTGCACCTGCTGCACCTGTGTCTCAGTCAAGTGAGTCTCAGGACAACTATCGGATAACGATAGCCACCCTGCGTAGCTAATGAGCGCATGCGACGCAGTACTCTTCGGCGAAGATGCGCCCTGCGGTGTCCCACCGGTAGACCTCTGCCGCTTCCCGTCGCCATGCCGCTTTAAGGTCTCCGCTGACACACCGGATTGCGCACCGTCTTGCCCAGATGACAGTGGGGTCCGTCCGGCAGGGGCTCAAGAAGTGGTTCCCTGACTTTCCGAGCCCTCCATCATTGCCGCCTCTCTCCGCTTCCGAATCCTTTTCCTTTCGGAACCTGGCCGAGACTTCTTTTTGATTTTTAGAGAGCTCATCCTTTCAGCGAGCTCTCTAAGCTTCTGACAGATTCTTCTGTCAGAGTACGATCGGGGTCTCCTGGATGTTCGGGGTCCCCCGTAGGGGGGACCTCGGAGTTTTTATTATTGTCTTCAGGTTCCATATTGTTCCCACGAGTAAAGGGGAAATGGTGGTCGACTTCTGCGGTGCCCCTACACGCACGCAATGCTGGATACGCTGGGAGGTCGCCCGGTATCCTAGAGGCTCCATTTTAAGACGGTGCATCCCCACCGTCGCGCACCCCTCAGCACGAAATCGCTTAAGCTTAACACCTTGGGTTGGGTAAAGTACCATTGCCCACGATGACCGTTGATTTGCAGGCGTCCCAGATATACCTCCGAGACACCTGTGGCCCAACGAATCATTCGATTAGCCGGGATACCGGCTTTACGACAGGTCTCCTCAAAACTGGTCAAGGCGGTCCACCGCAAAACCCCCACCCCGTTGCCTCCCTACACGGTCGCTCAAGGTTCAGCGCCTAAGGCCGCCCTGCAGAACGAACTCGAGGACGTACAGGTTGGATTTTTTCAAAGCTGGTTTGACATTTATATTCTATCACAAATTTTCAAATACAAATCTGTCTAACTAATCAAATGCTGTCCATTGGAAACAGTAGCACCTTCTGTCTGAGTACTGGCAAAATAGCGCCTTTTTGACTAATATTTTTTTTTATAAAATTACAAGAAAATCTATAGACAACGTATTTGTTGTCGACGAAAGGCTAACAACATATATGATCACCTCCAAAATCATTAGTTGTGTTATCTTGAGTACAAAATGTGTAATTACACTATAAACTAAACGGTCCGACCACTGGCACATTCCTCCCTTACTTAGGCAGCAATGGAAGATGAGTAATGCATAACAAACAAAAATGCTTACTATCCATCAGCAGATAATTGAATATTCTCTACAAAGCACTGTCGCACCAGCTGTTCCCAAGTTGGATTTTTCATTCGGTCCATCACTGGCTTCATCGAGGCAATGAGCTTATCGCATGCTTGTATGATAGCCTGAAGAAAAGAGATTAGGGTATTAACAAGGACTTTTCACATTTGTGGATGCGATGCCATAAAATGTAAAAAGGACATTAGTATTCAAGCTTATCGATATTGGGGCTCGAGGCGTTAAAGGTACGTTTCCAATATAAGAAGCTGCGGGCACGTTGGCGAATGCTGCAGATTTTACGAGGTCCGTAAACTAAGTGATGAGAGTGGCAACGTCGCGTTCGATCTGGCAACGTAGCAGGCGCCGAGTTTGCAGGGTAAACAGGTGAATATGTGATCCATCTTCAGTACAATCGAATCACTTGGCTGTCACTAGCGATTTTTTTGTGAAACATTTATTTCAATTGTGTTCAATTTCGAGCAACGGTGTGCTATCAGGTTTTTTTTCAGACTTGAGCACAGTGCAACGGCGACTCTTGCTAGACTTCAGCAGGTCTACGGAGATAGTGTTTTGCAATGAGCACAGGATTTTCAGTGGTTTAAGGCAGAGAGTCGACTGAACATGAACCACGAAGCGGATGGCCTTCACCTTCAAGAACCGATGGAAATATCGACTATGTCAGGGATCTTGTGCGTTCAAAACATCGGTTGATAGTAAAAATAATTGTGGAACAGTTAAATTTGACTCACACCACCGTTCATCAGATCAAGAACAACTGGATGTTGCATCACAATAAATCAGTTTTCGGCCAGTAAGTCCTGTGGCTCCTCAGCCTCCTTGTTCGCCTGACTTGAGTCCGTGTGACTTTTTTCTCTTCCGAAGTTGAAGAATCACCTCAAGGCAACTCATTTTGGGACAGTCGAAAACATTCAAACGACTATAACCGACCAGCTGAAGGCTATTCCAGTATCGGAGTTCTAGGACTGTAGTAGAAGAACCGTCTTCAACGCTGTGTGGCTTCAGAAGGAAGTTATTTTGAGGGTGATATCATCACTAAATTTACAGACCTTGTATGGCTGGAGCTTGCTTAAATGGTAACGGACCTGGGCCAGTATTCTTGAAATCGGCGATAAAAGTCGTATACGATAGTAGGCTACTTGACTTCCACATACAGTGCTTTTCTTTAATGCCCCTTATTTTTTTGAACGGATCAATTCAAAAAATTAAAACTTGAGGTAATGAATTTGATATCGTATTTTAGAGTAAAATTGACACATGAAAATGTCAAGATGGCCGCTGGACGCCATCTTAGAACAAAAAAATATATAAAAACGGGTACTTTATAACCCTAGAATATAAAGTCAATACCTTTACCTACTACAAAATGGTGGTACATTTAATAATTACTTGAACACAAACCAACTAAAAGGCATATCTCTACAAATAATTGTAATTCCCTGCCGTATCCACAGCAACAGCGATAAAAACTTGTTTTGTTATTTTTTGCTGACAGTGGCAAGAATATCAGTACGAAAACGAACATCATTGTACAGTTAAAATATTCTTATTTAATTTTCGGTTTTAGTGCTAGGTACTGCTTGAACTATATATTTTTAAAATGGTCAAATCTCGTCCATTGGAAGAAAAAATCGAAGCGATTTTTATTTATGGTGCGACGCGTAACTTTCACAAGACCGAAAGAATTTTCAATGATCGCTTCCCGAATCGTCCTATCTGTAGAAAATATGTATCTTAATTTGCAGCTACTGGTAGTGTAAACAACAAAAAGCCCCCAGGTCATCCGACCATTCCGGAAGAAAAGCAAGTTCAAATAATTGGTGAGATCATAGTAAATCCCCAACAGTCTACTTCCTCCATCGCGAATGTATCTGAGGTTTGTCCTTCTAATGTATGGAGACTTTTGAAAAAGAATAAGTATCACCCATACAAAATTCAAATGGTACATCAGCTAACTGAAGATGACCCTTAACGTCGAAGCGAATCCTAATGAATTTGATACTGATAATGTAATCCAGCGAGATGGTGCTCCACCACACTATTACAGACAAGTTAGGAATTATTTAGATAACAATTTCCCGTCGTTGAATTGGCCGTTGAGGTCCTGTGGAATGGCCAACTGGCTCACCAGATTTGACACCTTTAGACTTTTTTTAAGGGGCTATTTGAAGCAAAAGGTGTACGAAACTGAACCTGCTTCAATATTGGATATACGGCTGAGAATAACAAATATTTGTAGAAATATCGATGTTACTATGTTTGAAAATGTTCGACGCGAAATTATGGGCTATTATCAAGGCAACCATTTCCAGCTCCTTCTAAACTGAACTCAAACGTATTTATTCGAATTATCAAGTTAAATGTCAATGTATTCAGGTAATTATTAAATGTACCAATATTTTGTAGTAGGTAAAAGTATTGACTTTATATTCTAGGGTTATGAAGTACTCGTCAGGAGCATCAAAATGATGTGCCACAAGACTCCCGTTTCCATATAATTTTTTTTCCAAGATGGCGCCCAGTGGCCATCTTGACATTTCCATCTGTCAATTTTACTCTAAAATATGATATCCACGCATGAATTTCATTACCTCAATTTTTAATTTTTTGAATTGATCCGTTCAAAAAATCAAAGGGCAGGGGGACATTAACGAAAAGCACTGTATATCTAATTTCATAGAGTAAATGGGTATTTCTTAGAGTATTTGACTTAGGGAAACGAAATATGTCGATTCAATTTCTAAAAGCGCAAGATGGATATATAAGCCCAACTTAAAAAACTATGTTTAATATGAAACGCTGAAAGCAGTATGTGACGTCATACAAATTGTAAACAAAGAAACGTCATCCGTACGACACTCGTGGACTAACGTTGTCTTCTTCAAGTATTTCTTAAAAACTTCTAATCAACCGAAAAATGATCGTTTGGTAAGAGTATACTTCAGCGCGTATTGCAAATAATTCATTTCTTACTTTAAAATGAAAGATTAGGATGTAAATTGCACGAAAATATCATTATTTCTTTAAGGAACGCTCTGCTTGCTATTTTATAGAACTTCAAAGTTGCATTTTTGGTGGTAATACGCTAGAATGGAATACTGTTTTATACGCTTTACTTGCTTTTTGCACAAAATTATTCTTTAAATTATCATAATATACGTACACTGTATAGTAGTAAGGAAAATAGATGTGAAACTGTAAAATATCGCTATTTTTTGCAAAAAAAAGGTTCAAAATCTGCCGTGTTGTTACACATTACCTTATTAGCTAAAATAACAGTTTAAAATACATACGTAAATGAGTGTAGAGGTGTTGTGTTGTGATTTTTCAGTCTTCTCGGAATTCCTTAACCATTTTTTGCGTATTTTCAATGAGATCAAAGTTTCGCGTTTATAAGAAATATTTAAAAGTACAAACAATTCTGAATGGCCATTTTATACGTTCATTTCTTGACAGATAAGATAAATTATTTCCATTGTTGCCAAGTTGTACCCTTTTTGGGAGAAATACGTTATACAAAATGAGGTTATTTGCAAAATAAAAGTCTTAATTTATTGTAAATGGCTTGTTTTATGAGAAGTTTACCCATTATTTACCGAAAACTAGGCGAAATTTTGAACAGTATGTGTCTAAACAGCTTCTCGCGTGAAATAGACAATACAAAAAGGCACCAGCGGTCATTGCTAGGTCCACCCAACATATCATCGTCCAACATTATAGTGAAATAAAGATCAACGATCATTTCATCAAATCATCAAAAAACTTGCAATGTTCTTTGTTAAGTTTTCATTGTTTAGCGATTGGCAACAGCTACTTTTTAGTTATTTCTCATATACATCACATTGAATTAGGTATATTTTATGACATCAGCTTCACTTTGAATAATTCTTCAAGTAAATACATAAAAAAGTAAATATATTATAACTATAATATAGGAAAAACAATAACCGAAGTACTTTTATAAAGGGCATTCTTCAAAAAAGTGTCTTTAGCTAACGCTATCGTAGGGCACAAGGTGAATTTAGTACATTAAAACCTGTCGGCCACACCTCCAAACCGCATTTTCATGACAATCCTGTGCCGATTGCACATTTTTGCGCTAGTATATAAGTAAGAATTTGACAAACCAAATTAGGGTATATAACTATCTATGATTTGGCAACATAGCAATTAGATGGAGAGAGTAGGATAGTGATGGTGGTGGATGGTGGTGTAGTGATGGGAATATTCATCTGAAATAAACAAAATTACTACTTAACAATGAACTATTTTCATCATTAAAATAATGCAAAATTGCATTATTGCGATGAACAGTGGCACAGTAATTTACATTGTATTTTATACTTATATAATTTTGAGCAATATTTTGTGTAAACAAGAAAAAAACGGCATATATAGCAGTATTCTATACCATAGTATTACTACACAAAATGCAACTTTGAAGTTCTATAAAATAGCAAAGATAAAATGATATTTTCGTGCAAGTTACATCCTAATCTGTCATTTTAAAGTAAGAAATGTAATATTTTTGCGAGATGCGCTAAAGTATAGTTCAGCCGATCGTTTTCCCGTTTTATTGAAAAAAAAAACAATAATGGACGTTGGATTTGTAAAAGCAGAAAGCACAAAAGACCGAAAATTTAACACATCGATGGTTTGCGATTGTTTTGCCTTCAGCCCAGATTCTGCTTTGCTGAGCTGTGGAACATCAAGACTTCTATGTAAGTACAGTGCATCCGATATATGAGACATAAAAATAAATAATAAGTAATACCCTTACACAATCTTTCTGTACAGAAGTAATTCAAAAACTAAGCTCATGCGTCATAACCTCTGAATAACTTTATCTAATATTTTTCTTCTTACGCACCTAACAAGGGAATCGTACGGTGATGATGCCGTTACTTGTGAGCTGTTACATGTTTAATAAAATTTAATAAATAGCTTATTTTGAATATTAATTGACTTAATTAAATTATTTTTTAATGTAGTACCTGGTTGGCTAAGGTAGAATACGTTAAACAATGCAAGTAGATATCAGCTGCGAATATTGCAACCGATAATAATGGCTTCTGGTAAAGGCACAACACTTACATAAATAACAGCTTCACTCGTCACACTGCCACCAGTAGCGAATGCATTTGGAGCGACCAAGTTCAAGCTTGGTTTCACTTGTACTTTATTCATGGTAACTCCAAACTTGAAGGCTACCACCTGAACTACCTGAAATATTTATATTTAGTGGGTATCAATAAGTTATGCTTTAATTATATTCTGGGGTGTCGTTTTTCATTTTTATGGGGAACTTAAAGCACTTAGTTCAAGTTTCCACTGCCGGGGAAGGCGACCATCACGTGTATACCCGAGGTCTTTTGGCCATTATACCATACAGTGTAGGTTGGCTCTTGTGGGTCATTTCGTCTGGCTGTTTGTTCCCTATCTTAGTTTCCTCAGGATGTACGGACATGTGTGTCTACTCCTGTAGTTGCATATGTGCATGCGTTTCGGGCCTGATGAAGCCAACAAGCAGAAATACGTATTGCTCGGGTTACCTATCCTGTTTGCTAGTTGTATCTAAGTGACATATAAATCCGAACACCCAGTTTAAATGGTTTTATTTTAATAAAAGTTGGTGAATGTATTTATCTTACTGTAAATAACAAGTGAAAAAATTTTCAGCCTTATCAGTTGGACATTCCGGTTTTTATACTGCTTTTTTTTAATTCACTAACGCTCTAAAAATGAATATTTCAGCCGCAGTAAAGAATCAACGTTGGCGGATTTTGGTTCTTGACTTCCTTTTCGATCGGTTACGATGCCTAGAGTACGGAGACCTGTACGATTTCGTCAACTTAGTGAGTTTGATAGGGGCCGTATAGTGGGACTTCGGGAAGCTGGACTTTCTTTTCGGGCAATTGCAGTTAGAGTGCAAAGAAGTGTAGACACTGTGGTTAGGTGTTGTCAGGCATGGCTTCGAGAAGGCCGTACGCAAAGAGCAAGGGGCACTGGACGCTGCCGTAGAACAACAGACCGTGAAGATCGCCGCCTAAGATTATTGACCTTAAGGGACCGTTTCTCCACTACCAGGTCCATTGCAAATGAACGGTTTGCAGAACACGGAAGACCTATTGGCATGCGAAGTGTTTACTGACGAATGAGAAGTTTTGGCTTGTTTTCATACCGGCCACACTGGGTCCTCCCTTTAACTCGAGAACACCGACGTAATCGCCTTGAGTGGTGCAGACAACGGTCACTCTGGGATCAGGAATGGAACAGTATTGTCTTTAGTGACGAGTCTCGATTTTGTTTAGGCATGCACGATGGTCGTGCCAGGGTTAGAAGGCGACGTGGTGAAAGGAGGAATCCACAGTTTTTTGTTGAAGGACATGTTCATCACACTGTTGGAGTTATGGTTTGGGGTGCTATAGCTTATGGTTCCAGGTCACCTTTAATCTTCATCAGAGGTAACATGAACGTGCAGCGTTATATCCACGAAGTTCTAGAACCCCATCTTTTACCCTATCTTGACACCCTGGCAGATCCAACTTTCCAACAAGATAATGCCCGACCACATGTTGCAAGAGTCACAATAGACTTCTTTCAACATAATGATGTCACATTGTTACCATGGCCACCAAGATCTCCCGACTTATCCCCAATTGAGCACGTGTGGGATAAGATGGGTAGGAGATTTCTCAATTTGCAACGTCCTCCTCAGACTCTAAAAGCACTTCGAGAGGAGTTGGTGGTTGCCTGGAATGAGATACCACAGGAGGACATTGACCACCTGATCAGAAGCATGCCTAGGCGTGTTGGAGAATGCGTAGCACATCAGGGTGCATCCACACATTATTAAAGGTCAAAGGGCTTTAAAGCAGTGCAATCATTTTGAAATTTTTATCATTTACTTATTATGCTTCATTAAGTACTTATACAAAATTTTATTAAAATGAAACCCTTTAAACTGGGTGTTCGGATTTATATGTCACTTAGTATATTTGTTACAGCTGTTGTATACTTTGTCAACGGACTTTGTTCTGAAAGCTTGGTGAATAATACTTTGTTCTTCCTATAAATTGCTGTGCAAAGTATCGAACAAGAAAATGAATGCATTTGGAGTTATTAAAAAGAAAATGTGGTAGCTTCCTCGCTTATCCTTCCTGTCTTGGCAAAAAATATTTCTTTGGCTGGTGAAGTGGCTCATAGAAAGATCTTTTTGAACAACAACAACTACAGGACTGTGTGACAGTAGGATAGATCTTGATGAGCAGTATGGAGAGGGGTAGGTAATGACCCTTGATAATGGAGTCATGGATGCAACATTAGCAACATAGCTTCAGGCAATGGTAGTAAGCAATGCTCTCTGAATTCAGAATTTCGTAGTATTTGTCAAGCTTTTTGAACAAAATTCATTGACAACGGATATAATAGCTGTAATTTATGATAAAACATTTTCAAGGGGATGGCTTCCATCAATTTGCAAAACTGCAACAAGATGCAACCAACTGGAGGAGAAAGGATGATGATTCTCTTTTGTTTCTATCGATGCTGAGGGTCAAAATTCCATAAAAAAAGTGGAGGACGTAGCACCCAAATCAGAATGACTAAGCTTAAGTTACACAAAAAAGGCTGCTAGTCCATGAATTGGCGCTTGGGTCGTAATATCTCACAGTCCGGAAAATGACGAAACGACCCCTGCCCTATGACCTCAACGGAAACAGAAAAGCAAATCACCCAGAACACGAAACGTTCTAGAAGAAGGTATCTTGAGTGGCCTTGAAGAAGATATGTTTCATAGGAAACCAATTAACGGAGAGAAACTAAAGAGTTTTTTTGCTGATCGTCAACACCATACTGAATCGCTGAGAAAGAAAGATATACAGATATACTCCTCTCGAAGTGCTTCTAGAGTCTGAGGAGGACGTTGCAAATTGATCAATCTCCTACCCATCATATCCCACACGTGCTCAATTGTGGATAAGTCGGGAGATCTTGGTGGCCATGGTAACAATGTGACATCATTATGTTGAAAGAAGTCTATTGTGACTCTTGCAACATGTGGTCGGGCATTATCTTGTTGGAAAGTTGGATCTGCCAGGGTGTCAAGATAGGGTAAAAGATGGGGTTGTAGAACTTCGTGGATATAACGCTGCGCGTTCATGTTACCTCTGATGAAGATTAAAGGTGGCCTGGAACCATAAGCTATAGCACCCCAAACCATAACTCCAACAGTGTGATGAACATGTCTTTCAACAAAAAACTGTGGATTCCTCCTTTCACCACGTCGCCTTCTAACCCTGGCACGACCATCGTGCATGCCTAAACAAAATCGAGACTCGTCACTAAAGACAATACTGTTCCATTCCTGATCCCAGAGTGACCGTTGTCTGCACCACTCAAGGCGATTACGTCGGTGTTCTCGAGTTAAAGGGGGGACCCAGTGTGGCCGGTATGAAAACAAGCCAAAACTTCTCATTCGTCGGTAAACACTTCGCATGCCAATAGGTCTTCCGTGTTCTGCAAATCATTCATTTGCAATGGACCTGGTAGTGGAGAAACGGTCCCTTAAGGCCAATAATCTTAGGCGGCGATCTTCACGGTCTGTTGTTCTACGGCGGCGTCCAGTGCCCGTTGCTCTTTGCGTACGGCCTTCTCGAAGCCATGCCTGACAACACCTAACCACAGTGTCTACACTTCTTTGCACTCTAACTGCAATTGCCCGAAAAGAAAGTCCAGCTTCCCGAAGTCCCACTATACGGCCCCTATCAAACTCACTCAGTTGACGAAATCGTACAGGTCTCCATACTCTAGGCATCGTAACCGATCGTAAAGGATGTCAAGAACCAAAATCCGCCAACGTTGATTCTTTACTGCGGCTGAAATATTCATTTTTAGAGCGTTAGTGAATTAAAAAAAAGGAGTATAAAAACCGGAATGTCCAATTGATGAGGCTGAACATTTTTTCACTTGTTATTTACAGTAAGATAAATACATCCACCGACTTAAAATAAAACCATTTAAACAGGGTGTTCGGATTTATATGTCACTTAGTATATAATACGAGTAAAATTATACAATCAATATACTATTAAATTTGCCAAAAGAAAGTCATTGAAAAGGGTTTGGCCTAGGAATGGGCACTCTATTATCAATGAAGAGAAATTCAAATTACGGATAAGTGATAAATAGTAAAAACATAGCTACGTGATTTTGGCACGTGACAACATCAACTCAAGACGCCATAGTAGAACCAGTAGAAAATATCTTTCCTGCTGTATACCTTGAGCCCTCTACTCACACTTTTTCTTGAAAGCAAGTACCAATCCCAAGGTAGGGCTTGATATTATTAGATAGTCATTTGTTTCGTATACGGGGTTTATTGAAAAAAAATTGTTTATCTTCTCGTTTTATTTCGAATGGGATTCTAAAATAAATTGCTACTCTTTCTCCTCTACAAGAGGGCGTGGTCCATACTTAACTTTATTTTTTTCTTATGGACTGCCTATTGAAATTTTGCGCAATCGAATCAATTTTTGCTCCTGCATTTAGTTATGAATTTATGTATGTCAGGATGAACTTCACATATTTAATTGAAGCAAAATCACTCGTAGTACAATTTAAATGTACAAAATATTCCAATATAGCGTCCATATGTAAAAACGAAGTTGGTGATGGACGTCGAAAGGAAAAACTTCAAATTAAAAATTCGAACACGCCATCTTGTACAACAGAAAAAGTGGCAATGACAACAAGGAATTTATTTCAAAACTGCATCTCTAAGTCATTTATGTAATAAAGCGTTGCAAGTTATTTTAGCAACAAAGTTTGGTCAAATTAATCGCAATCTATGTATGTACTAAATTCCTATTTAAAATATTACGAGATATTTCCTTATCTTTCTTCAAGAAATAATTTTTTTGCCACAAAAAAACGCTCCAATAGCTATTTTCAACAACAAAATCATAAACAAACCATGGGCAAAGCATTTACTTATTAAGTAAATTCTTGTAGTCAAATTTCTTCTGAAAGTAGTACAAACTAATCTGATGTACCTATTAAAGTCTACTTTAAGCTTTAAATCAATAAATCTTCAAAACTACTCAACTGAAGCTCATGTATTTTACATCATTATGAAGAGAATTGAAAGTTCTTTAAAATAAGGTATCACTCGACCCCCCTTTCCATTTTAGATTTTAGGGTTGGTGTCACCCCCGCCCAGGGGCTTTAAGCTTTAAATCAATAAATCTTCAAAACTACTCAACTGAAGCTCATGTATTTTACATCATTATGAAGAGAATTGAAAGTTCTTTAAAATAAGGTATCACTCGACCCCCCTTTCCATTTTAGATTTTAGGGTTGGTGTCACCCCCGCCCAGGGGCTGCACGTATTAACGTGATTTTTTGCCAAACTTGTGTCCCCCTCGAAAAATCTACGGGTCTGAGCGTTTAAAAAAAAATGAGCTGTCAGTAAATGCGTCTGTTTCGTTTTCGATGCGCCACCCTGTATTTCCATAGGTTAATTTAGCTTCGGTTGCTGACGTCATCTCCAGGGAGGATCTTTAACGTCTGTACTAAAAATGAGAGGAGGAATCAAACAACATTTAATACAAACCTTCGTATTGATACCTTGTCCCATTTCAACTCCTCCATGACATACCATGATTCCACCGTCTCCATGCACGATGGACACCAACACTGTGAAAGATCCTTTAAATTCTAACATCCATGCCATTGGAATTAGTGACATGCCACGTTTTTTCCATCGATTTTGCTGAAAGTTCCATATAATAAATACAATCTGGATATTTACTACCGATCTTCAAGTGGAAGCGGTAATCGATTTATTGAATTTTTTGAAATTGTATGTGAAAAACATTATTACAGGAATTGCTCAAATGTACATTTAGGAAACTACAACATAAATTTTGACAGTAAAGATATATATGTTAGAAATTTGAACAAGTGCTAAATTTATGGCAGAAGATAGATGACTGTACAAGGATTGCGAACCTTTCGAAAACAAAAATAGATTTGCTCATAACTAATAAACAAAATCCAATTGCTGTAGTTTAAGCATACTCCAGAAATAAGTGATCACTCTGGGATATGTTTCGAAGTAGAAAATATATTCAATAAAAATAAAATGAAAGAAATTACAGAAATTAATTTCACAAATTTACGAGAAACACTTTTACAAAACAATATACCCGAAATCATCAATAACTATTTCGAACAAATTATGGATAATAGGGATAAATATATGAGGAAAGCTATGGCCAAGAAAATAGTATATGAAAGAGTGAACCCATCACCCTGGTTTTCGCGGATATTCAAGGAGTCTAAATTAAAACGCGATAACGACTACAGAAAATTTTCAGTAACCCGACATGAAAATGATTGGAAACAATAAGGTACCTGTACCAAATAAGGCCACATTAACGTTTGGATAGCTGTAACTGCGTAAATATTTGCGAAACGACCTTGAAATTTTAAAGGTATTATTGTAGATATGTTTATTACACAAGCTACATCGGAGAACTCAGAGACCTTTTCTTTTCATATAAAAAAATATATTTTTCGAAACACTACCGTTGGCCTTATTAGGAACCCATGTATCTAAATAAGGCCACCATCTGGTTTTCAATAAAACCACAATCAAAATGTAAATCAAGACTACACATTCCTCATGGACATATCTTAAGCATACTACACACAGACGCATGTCACGTACTTCATCCTTATCGCATATGAAACAGTACCAGTTTTCGTCTTTATTCTTTCGGGACCTTTTGCTTTTAACGGTTCCAGACTCACTAGATTTTTTTATTGTTTTATCTAAGTCGGATGGACCTGGATTTGGGTCTTTAAACAAATCTCTTAGGACGATTTGCGCAGTAGAATTGATGGCTTTTCGTCTTTTTGTGGCGTTGGCCTTCCATTCGGGTGTGGGAAGTACCTCCCTGAAACTTAGATCCAATTGATCACTGTCTATTTGACCAGTCACAAGATTTGTTGTTTCAAGAACTGCAAACTTTTGAGTCGAGTTTATTTCTTTTTCATTAGAAGTAGCTGTTATCTGTAACATTGAAGTTCCGTAGTGCAAGGGGTATGTAACAGTGGCGGCTCGTGAGGTAGTGCCACGGTGCCATGGCACTACCTTGTCTTCTTCAAAAAGAATATTTTTTTCAATCTTCAATGTTTTACTTTATTTTTTGCTTTTTCATTTTTTTTTTTTGGTATAAATTATATGAAGTGACAACACTGACAACGTGACAACACCGCAAGCACCCGAACCACGCGACGAGATATAAAGCATGCCTTGACCTTGACGTCATCAACTTGTGCCAATGTCGGGCCGGCCCAAATAAAAAGAGAGAAATTTTACCAGCATCGCATACGAGCGACAGAGATAACGCTACAATACACATTTTTATATGAGGTGAATAGCGAAAGACAAGTATAATTTGTGCCAGGCACATCATCAGTCGTAATTCGTTATCAAATGATATCGGCGGTGTTTTTGTTCGGTCGGTCGTTTCGTTATGATTACGTCTAGTGCTGATTTCGGTCTTTTTTTACCTGAAAAGTGAGAAATAACGTTTTTGTTTTAGTACGTCTAGTGTTAATGAACTGCTCTGTTTTGTGATCATATTTTTTACTGTTTTATTAAAACTAGTGAAAATGAATAAAATCGGGATATTAAAAAACTCATTTAGTGGTTTTTCGCTGGATCAAAAACTGCAAATTAAAGAATTAGGACGGCCAATACCCGATTTAAAAATTGAGAAACAAAGTGGTAGCGGACAAAAATCGCGCTGTCGCAAATTTAATAAAAATGTGTACGATAAAAACAGCTGGATATGTGGTTGTGAAGAAACGAATAAACTATTTTGTTTTGTATGTGTTCTATTTGGAGGTGACGAGACTTGGTCAAAAAAAGGTACAGATGATCTTATACATATATGGGATAAAATGAAGACCCACGAAAAATCTAAAGTCCATATGAATAATGTTTTTAGCTTTTCTATTCTTGGTAAATTAAATATAAGGACTCAACTCAATTCGGCTTATCGCAATGATCTAATTAAACATAATAATCAAGTGGATAAGAATCGATATGTATTGAATAAAATTATTAATTGTATAAGGTTTTGTGGAGCATTTGAGTTAGCCTTAAGGGGTCACGATGAAAAGGAAAATTCGGAAAACAGAGGCATATTTAAGGAGCTGGTGAATTTTAGCGCCGAATTAGACAACGAATTGAAAGTCCATATTCAAAGTGCCAAACTTTTCAAGGGTACCTCAAAAACAACTCAAAACGAGCTTCTTGAGTGCATGCTAGATGTTTATCATGAAGAAGTTAAGAAGGAGATTGCAAATTCTCCTTTTGTTGCAGTAATTGCCGATGAAACGACTGACGTAGCCTGTGAATTTCAGTTAGTTATTATTTTCAGATATTTGTGTAAAGGACAACCAGTTGAGAGATTTTGGAGATTTTACGTCCCCGACGGACACGATGCCAAATCAATCGCTGCATGCGTTTTAAATGTTGTAAATCCATTAATAGATCAAAATCCAAACAAATTAATAGCTCAAAGCTATGATGGTGCGTCTGTTATGAGTGGTGAATTGAATGGCGTTCAAAAGATTATTAAGGAAACTTATCCACTTGCAAATTATGTTCATTGCTATGCACACCAGTTAAATCTAATTATGACAAGCGCATGCTCTGTCAATAAGCAGGCTAGAATATTTTTCCATAATTTATCTGGATTGTGCTCTTTTTTTTCGACGTCTCCTCAAAGAACAAAAATTTTGGATGAAATAGTTAATCGCAGATTGCCAAGATCTTCCCAAACACGTTGGAATTTTCAGTCACGAGGTGTTCATACAGTTTATGAAAATAGGAAAGACCTGATTGAAGTTATGGACAATATAGAAAGTACTTCACGCGATTCTTCGTCGATTAATCAAGCCAGTGGGTACAAATTAAAGCTGCAAGATACAAATTTTGTATTTTGGCTAAGTATATTCCATAAAATAATGCCACATGTTGAAATTGTCTTTAACCAATTACAAAAAGTATGCACCGATTCTGTTAAGGTCAAAAATGATTTAGAGAATTTTGAAGCAGCAATTCAAACTATACGAGAACAAATGGATAGCATTATTGACGAGATTGAACGAGTGCAGAGAGAAACTGATGAACCGGCAAGAAAAAAAAGGCAAGTTGAAGAAGGCAGCAAAAAACGGGAAGCGTTAGAAATATGCGATGCAGTATTATCGCAAATAAGAACAAGATTTAACTTTTCTGGGCATTTAGTTGCTTCTAATTTATTTGTGTCTGAAAAGTTTTCTGTTTATAAACATCAGTTTCCTGAAGCACATTTAAATGACACATGCACACAATTTTCATTTTTAGACAAAAACAGGCTTAAAACTGAGTTACAAGTATTATATCAGAGAGAAGAATTGAGTACTACTTCTGGAGCTGTTCCACTATCCATTTTATTGAACGAGGAAGGATTAAATTGTACGTTTCAAGAAACTCTTAAGCTCTTAAGTATTTTAATCACTATACCGATGTCAACATCTGAAGCAGAACGCTCTTTTTCAATGCTGAAACGGATTAAAACTTTCCTCAGAAACACAATGAAGGAAGAAAGGCTTAGTGCTTTAGGAATGCTGTCTGCAGAAAAACATTTTGTTAGTGGCATTGAAAATTTTAATAATAAGGTAATCGAAAACTTTGCTACCAAAAAAGAAAGAAGAATGGACTTCATGTATAGAAAACTTTGAAGTTATAGGTACTTCTCCACACTTGTTTTATAATTTGGTGCGCGTGTGTAAATAGTTTTATTTTTGATTTTTTTTTGGACATATAGATTTATTGAACCTCAAGAACTTTGACCACTAACTATCAGGGGTAAGTTATAAGTTATTCTTTACAATTTTGAATCGATTCAAAATTATGGCTTCCATTCTGGCACTACCTCACTGAATTGGCACGAGCCGCCACTGGTATGTAATCAGATTCTGTAAAGCTGACATCATGGTTTTCCTCATTCTCCTCCTGAACATCTGTAGCTGCCGTATTTGAATCGGGCCTCTCTGACATTAAACTAGGTGTAAATGCAGTCTCCGGGATCGCAGCTGGGTCGTGTGGGTATATTCCTGTTGCGCGAAATCCTGACTGAAGATTTTCAGAAGACATGGCCCTTGGATACACTTTCCTCAAAATTTCTCCAAATCTTGCACGATTCAACTTCCTGCCAGGATACCGCTTGTAATGGTTAAGTATTTCATTTTCCCAATGATATTCGAAACTGCGGAAAACACATTTATCCAGCGGTTGCAGCACGTGTGTCGTGTTACTCGAAAGACACAATAAAGTGATGTGATGTTTTTCGGCGGCGTCAACAATAGTTGCATCCAAATGAGAAGAGGCACCATCAAAAATGAGAAGAATATCTCCTGGTGGCTTATAGTTTGCTAGATGGTCTAGCCATTTAACAAACACTGCTGCCGTCATACTTCCTTTTTGGGTCATTTCAATTACTGTTCCGGTTGGCATATTGTCACCCCATTCATCCTTTTTACGTTTTCCCTTGAACAGGACCATTGGTGGTATCGCCTGTCCAATAGCATTTCCACATGCAACTATTGTGGAATTTTCTGCGTGCTCATTAGCTACATAGTGAACACGTCTTTCACATTTCCTCGCCAACACATTTGGTTGGCGGTGGATGGTGAGTCTGCACCCCTTCTCATCTACATTGTAGATACGATGGGGCTGATTGATTAGGTTTAGTCTAATCAGCAAACTTTCCAGTTTTTTGAAGTAGTCGTTTACAATGTACTTATTTACTTTCTGTGCCCTAGCTGGATTTAAAACCTGTGCTTTCCTTTGGCGAATATTTTCATGTCTGTCCAAAAACAACTTCAACCATTTTCTACCTGCCATTCCACTATTTTCATTAAATGTGTGACGAATTTTTTTGTCATTAACATAGGAAAAGACGGATTTTCGCAAAATCTTTGGTGTAAGGGGCATTCCTGTATCCGATAATCGGATTATCCTTGAGCATAGTTCATCTTCCTGCTCTCTAGACAAAATTGTACGAGTGCCAAGTTTTCTTTCTCGCACACCTGTACGAACATGATTGCGAAGTGTTCTTCGTGGAATTTGGTATTCTTTGGATGCACGATTTACCGACGTTCCACTGTTTATACTATCCAGTGCTTGTACAAGCGCTTCGGTTGACCACAGCGCCCTTTTCTTAGAGGGCATACTTCGACTATAGTCTCTGAAAAAAAAACATCTTAATTTAAGACATCTGCCGTAATGGCCAGCGTGTTCCTAATAAGGCCAAGTGGCCGTAATGGGAACCGTTTATCATGGCCTTATTAGGCACATATAACCTTAAACATACAATTTATAAAATACAAAATATTTAAAACCTGGCGACGACAAATAACTAGCTGTATATGTTCTATAGACTTACCTGATTGAACTGACAACAGATTTCGCAAAAAGAAGCAGACAACATGAAAAATCGAAGACAAATTTAAAGTAGTCATTTTGTAAGGCAAGTGTTGAAAATCGACACTGGCCAACTGCGCCATCTAGCGCCGCTCCACATCTTCTACATTTATGGGTGCTAACTCATCTCAATATCTCAATGAATGTATAGAACTGTGAAAACCTTTAATTCTAGATGTAACTAGTGTCTGTAAAATCGACGCATGGCCTTATAAGGAGCTTGGCCTTATTTGGTACAGGTACCTTATACATAATCAAGAAATGAGTGTGTAGCAGTTCTCAGGAGGGAAAAGAAAAAATACTATGATAAGAAGATCGATAGCAATAAAAATAATTCTAAAATGATGTGGAAAACATTAAAATGCGTTTCGAAGATGGGTTAGTGACAGACAAATTAATTATAGCAGAAAGAATGAACTTATTTTATAGAAAGTGTAAATCAAATAGTGAAGACGATTGATGACGGTGATCCAAACTTATGTCCATTACAAGTATGTCAGAATTCGTCAATGAAGCAATTTGAGACAATTAACATCAACACCTTGTTTATAGGCCAAAGAAACGCCACTATTAACTCCACTGCAAAAGAAAAATCGGCTTAGATGGGCTAAAGAACATAGACAATGGACACCTCAACAATAGTGTGCAATACTATGGAGTGATGAGGCCCGATTCGAAGTTTGTGTTGGTGACAGTCGCAGTAGAGTTATTCGCAAAAAAATGAAGCATTCCATGTTAACTGTATGAAGAGAAAAGTGAAATTTCCAGCATCCATTATGGTCTGGGGCAGTATGTCATCAAAAGGAGTAGGAAAACTTCATTTTATTGGTGGAAATGTGGATACAAACAAATATTTGGCAGTTTTAGAAGAATCGCTTTTACCAGTGATGGAAGAATGTTTGACATCCGGCCAAGATTTTGTGTTTCAGCAAGATGGTGCAGCGTGCCATACCTCAAAAAAGGCTATAAAATGGATGGAAGAAAATAGTGTACCATTTTTGAAATCGGTTTCTAGCAGTCCAGATCTGTCACCTATTGAAACTTGGTGGCACGAGATAAAAAAGGTTCTACGACAACATCCTGCTCGTACAATCACCGAACTGAGACAAAAGCTTCAAGAAATATGGGATTGTTTTACACCAAATTTTTGCCAAAACTTGGTTAACACTATGCCTCAAAGAATTTCAGCCGTCATAAAAAATAAAGGTTATGTTACCCAATGGTGATCTTTCAATTGTTGCTTTGTTAACTTCGCGCATTTATTCGCACATTGTTTAATTGTTCAGATGTTCTATTAGAGTGTATCTAAAATGTTTTTGAGAAAATAAATTGTTTTAGAAGTAAATGGTTTCGTCATGTTTAGTTTATAAAGGCATATTTTGGTACAAATCTTGAAGTGGGCCAACTGAAGTGGGAAGGCGTCCGTACATGAGGAGGCTTTTCTCAGTTCTACTAACCCTAGGCTGTTCAAAAGTCAGATTAGCCATGTTTCTTCAACCTTTCCTTACCAGCCGCGGTGCCCTGGCATTTAGGCTTCTCCCGCGCTGCTGCTTCGGTGAAACAACCTACGATGCAATGATGATTAAATGTAAATCACTTACTTTGTTAAACTGCTCAATCGATTGTCTTCGAGCAGGAATATCTGCCCAAGTTTCTATTTCTTTCCAGTAGCCCAAGATTTTCCCGTGTTTGGTTGAGTCCGTGTTTAATTGTCTGACTTGCACGGGATCTAAATTCATTTCATATGCAATGTGCTCAAAAATAGTTTCTATTGAACCCATGGCTTCTAACGTACCTGTAACATTATTTATTTCATTATACAGAGATACAGTGATATAGTCGAAATCAAGAAAGATGACGATTACGTAATCATTTTAGTCTGTAGTAAAGACAAACGACAGCGATTTGTGAATATATCTAATGAAGTCTCTGATATGTTAGACAGAGACAAACAGAATTTCATTGTCTAAACAAACTGTATTGCTAATTTGCATGTATCCGACAAAGATAGACGATGTTTTCATGTTGCATGATCGATCATATTTTGAAAGATGAATAGTTAGGTTATGTGAAAGCAGGTTATGTTGTTTTCGAATAATACTTTGGTCTTGGGTGTTCCTATCTTAAGGTATTTTACTCATAACTGTTTTTTCAAAACAAAAACTCCCCATTAAAATTATTATTAAGGTATCACTCAAAACCATGAAATAAAATGAAAATAAAAATAATCAGTGAAACAACCCAACTTCGCAAAATCATAATATAAATTTGTTGTCATTATGTTTCTGACTCGTGATTTTATCATCGACGTACGTCCATTGATTACTTCAGTACAATTTATGGTATGACGTAATAGTCATCTTTCGTGATTTTGACTATAGTTGTGCAGAATATTAAATATCCTCATTTGTTATTGTTAAAAACCATAGCAACGCTGCTCAGATATTATCCAAAGCAACTTGATTATTGTGGTATAAAAGTCTTTTATCATCATGGTCTAAATAATGCAATGGAATTTTTAAAAGCAAATATCTCGAAAACTATTAGCTTTAGACAATAATTCTATTAAGTGAACCTTTTTGGTTATGGAAATATGAAAAAATAAGATTCTCAGTCAGTTGCTGTATACAGGGTAGCAGAAAAAAGTTATGATAAGTTATTTACAGAAATAGTGCTGTAAGTAGCGCCCTCTAGAAGTTTGGCCATAAAAATAACGAGTTCTTGTTTCACATACTAGAAAACCTTTCTATATCGGGTTTTATGCCAAAATGAGAAATACTTCTCAATAAGGAAAAATAAAAAAAACTTTGACACCCTGTATCTCGCCAACTATCAACTTTTGGACTGAGGTATGTTTAATTCAATCCACATATCTTAGTATGTACTATCTCCAGTTTTGAGATTTCCCAACCCTATATATGTTAAATTCAGCCATGACAGACTCATGTTCAATGAAACTCAATTAAACATTTTATATCAAACATTTGTTGAATGCTGTATTATCTGGGGATCCACAAATAATAAACATCTAAACTCTTTACAGGTAATACAAAAAACATTCATAAAAACAATTCATAACAAACCTTTAACTACATCCCTCCAAAACGCTGTTTATAAAATCAAAACTTACAGATATAAAAAATTAAATTGGTATAATGTTATACTAGAATTCCATATAAACAAACACTCGATCATTTATAATGGGTGATTTTTTGGCTAGTATCTTTTTGGCGACACTGTTTTTGACAGATGATGCGTGAATCGTGTCTTGTGTCATTGTCAAACTTGTTCAGTTTGGTCTATAATTTAACCATGAATCGACTTACGAACGAACAACGCTTGGAAATTATTGAATTTTACTATCAAAATTCATGCTCGGTTAAGAGAGTGCATCGAGCACTGCTTCCAATTTATGGGCAATTTGGTCGGCCTACTGAGAGAGCTATTCGGAAGCTTGTGACTAAATTTCGAACCCAGTTTACATTATTGGACATTAAACCACCAACACGCAGACGTAGAGTGAGGACTGAAGAAAATATTGCGACTGTATCCGCCAGTGTTAGTGATGACCGTAAAATGTTGATTCGCCGCCGTTCGCAGCAATTGGGCCTCTGTTACTCCTCAACGTGGAAAATTTTGCGACAGGATTTGGGTGTAAAACCTTATAAGATAAGCTGGTCCAAGAATTGAAGCCACACGACCTCCCACAAAGTTTCCAATTTGGTGAAAGGGCGCTGGCAAAGTTGGAGGAAGATCCACATTTTTATCGAAAAATTTTGTTCAGCGACGAAGATCATTTCTGGTTGAATGGGTACGTTAACAAGCAAAATTGCCACCAATGCATCCCGAAAAAATCAGTGCTTGGTGTGGATTATGGGCCGGTGGCATCATCGGGCCGTACTTCTTCAAAGACGACAATGGCCGGAACGTAACTGTGAATGGCGAGCGCTACCGTGCGATGATAACAAACTTTTTTTTGCCCAAAATGGAAGAGCTGGACTTGGCTGACATGTGCTTTCAACAAGACGGTGCCACATGCTACACCGAACACGAAACAATGGCCCTATTGAGAGGCGAGTTCGGTGAACAGTTTATCTCACGTTTGGGGCCCGTCAATTGGCCGCCTAGATCGTGTGATTTAACGCCGTTGGACTATTTCTTGTGGGGTCATGTTAAGGCTAATGTCTACAGGGGTAAACCAGCAACGATTGATGCACTGGAAGCCAATATTGAAGCATTTATTCGTGAGATACCGGCCGATATATTGGAGAGAGATTGTCAAAATTAGACCTTGCGCATGGGCCATCTAAAGCGGAGCCGCGGCCAACATTTACATAGAATAATCTTTAAGCATTAAATTATATCGACCGTTCTATCGACTCAAATAAAAATTTAATCGTTTTTTCAAATTTTTTGTTGTTTTTTGAAAATCAAATCCTATACCTCTTAAAAAATCACCCGTTAATAATTATGAATATGATACTAGAAATGACAATAAGCAAATAATTATTGCAACACCAGAAAAAGAAATAATGTTGACATCTTCTATATACTTAGGTACATAATTATCGATTTAAATGAGTTGGTTTCTAAAACTCCATCATGCTCCCACCTTTCTCCTCTCCAGCACCTGACCTACAAACTCTCATTTTCTTCAATGCCAAGTTGTTGCAACAATTGGATGATACATAGGGAGAGAGGGAGATGTTTACTAAGACACATAATTAAGATCGAACATCACTTACAGGTAATTTCGTTTGATTATGCAATTTTCCAATAGTTATGTGTTTATATCATATTTCTCCAACCTTATCACTGTTCCTTACGATTTATTTCACGTATACTTACCAGGTGCTCTAGTCCAGGTGTTGGCATGTGTGTCAGTAGAAACTTGGTAGGTCGAAAATCTCCAAGTGTCTGTTACGTAAACGTTTTGGAAGCTGTCTACCACCATAGGATCAATTATATCATTCCCGCCAACACCAAAGTCCGAGTAAATATCTGAAAATGCGAGGATTATGCAAGAACCGTTTATTTGCCGAAAAAGGACAAGCGAATGTGTAGAAAAAATAGACAAAAATACAGTAATTTAAGTGTCGTTATGTCTTTTTTTTGACATTATATAGACTTTTTGTGGCATTATGTAGGTTTTCCTATAAGATGTCAACTTGCTAAACTAGCTGTTGTTCACCTGATGTGAACCCGTTGTGTAGCTGTACGTGTGTTGTGGTGTAATGTAACATCTTCTTCAGAGATGGGATATTAGAGGTCTAACCTGTAAGTTGTATGCTACAGCTGGAAGCATAGTGAGGATTTGAGTGTTAATAATCTGTCTTGATGATAATTACATTGATTTATTGTAAGATGTATGTTAAGCTAGAAATGAGATGCTTATCCACTTTTTCTCATTCATCCTGGAAATTACATATGCAAATTTGCCGAATTTCAAAAATGAGTGAGATAAAAAAGAAAATCCCTGGTTGGTAAAGGATATACAATTAATAGGTGAAAAATAGGTTACAGACAGGAATATTTATGAAACGTGAAAAGGTTATTATATACTAAGTGACATATAAATCCGAACACCCAGTTTAAATGGTTTTATTTTAATAAAAGTTGGTGAATGTATTCATCTTACTGTAAATAACAAGTGAAAAAAATTTCAGCCTTATCAGTTGGACATTTCGGTTTTTATACTGCTTTTTTTTAATTCACTAACGCTCTAAAAATGAATATTTAAGCCGCAGTAAAGAATCAACGTTGGTGGATTTTGGTTCTTGACATCCTTTGCGATCGGTTACGATGCCTAGAGTACGGAGACCTGTACGATTTCGTCAACTTAGTGAGTTTGGTAGGGGCCGTATAGTGGGACTTCGGAAAGCTGGGCTTTCTTTTCGGGCAATTGCAGTTAGAGTGCAAAGAAGTGTAGACACTCTGGTTAGGTGTTGTCAGGCATGGCTTCGAGAAGGCCGTACGCAAAGAGCAAGGGGCACTGGACGCCGCCGTAGAACAACAGACCGTGAAGATCGCCGCCTAAGATTATTGGCCTTAAGGGACCGTTTCTCCACTACCAGGTCCATTGCAAATGAATGGTTTGCAGAACACGGAAGACCTATTGGCATGCGAAGTGTTTACCGACGAATGAGAAGTTTTGGCTTGTTTTCATACCGGCCACACTGGGTCCTCCCTTTAACTCGAGAACACCGACGTAATCGCCTTGAGTGTTGCAGACAAGGGTCACTCTGGGATCAGGAATGGAACAGTATTGTCTTTAGTGACGAGTCTCGATTTTGTTTAGGCATGCACGATGGTCGTGCCAGGGTTAGAAGGCGACGTGGTGAAAGGAGGAATCCACAGTTTTTTGTTGAAAGACATGTTCACCACACTGTTGGAGTTATGGTTTGGGGTGCTATAGCTTATGGTTTCAGGTCACCTTTAATCTTCATCAGAGGTAACATGAACGCGCAGCGTTATATCCACGAAGTTCTAGAACCCCATCTTTTACCCTATCTTGACACCCTGTCTGATCCAACTTTCCAACGAGATAATGCCCGACCACATGTTGCAAGAGTCACAATAGACTTCTTTCAACATAATGATGTCACATTGTTACCATGGCCACCAAGATCTCCCGACTTATCCCCAATTGAGCACGTGTGGGATATGATGGGTAGGAGATTGCTCAGACTCTAGAAGCACTTCGAGAAGAGTTGGTGGTTGCGTGGAATGAGATACCACAGGAGGACATTGACCACCTGATCAGAAGCATGCCTAGGCGCGTTGGAGAATGCGTAGCACATCAGGGTGTATCTACACATTATTAAAGGTCAAAGGGCTTTAAAGCAGTGCAATCATTTTGAAATTTTTATCATTTACTTATTATGCTTCATTAAGTACTTATACAAAATTTTATTAAAATAAAACCATTTAAACTGGGTGTTCGGATTTATATGTCACTTAGTATATTTCACGTTATTTCATTTACAAGAGAAAAATATATTCTGGGATGTCAAGTAGTAGATATTTAATACAAATCAGCGCTAGATGTGAGGCACTGCGAAAATGCTTTATGTGTAGTAAGTCATTGCTATTTTGTCTGTGATCTGGCTTTGAAAGTTCGTGAATATATTTATTTTTTTAACATAAAGCGTTAGATATAACTTTGAACGTAACCGCTCTTCAGAAAGAACAACACATAAATAAGTCGTCTAGCACAGCTAACAGATATACTTCATGGAGAGCATATTCAGTAACAATTTTATCACATAGCAAATATCACTGATTTTATACACATGTTGCTACTCAACCAATTTTCTTTTTGTCACATCTTAGAGATATACTCTACATACGATCACGGCATTCTGCAACCAACAAAGCATGCTGGCGAACTGATTTGAAGCATGGTATTTGAGTCATTCCTCCATAGGTGTCGCTATCAGTGACGCTCACAGCGGTCACAGCCAGCAACAGCAGATTGAATTATTTGTTTGAAAACTAGCACCTATCTAGCCAGCAAGTTGACATTTTTTCGGTTTGTTTTCTGATATTATATAGGTTTCTTTCCGTAATACGAGTAGGCCTGCCGGCCATTGGGTATTAGTCTGGTCTCTAGGTATTGCTGTTGGCGTATGTTGGCCTAACGTGTGGAGACGACATTACAAAACATTCATATACATATGTGGGAAAAATATGATTATAATTCGTCTCTCACTTTTGAGATCTCGGAAACGGTAAGAGATACGGAGTCGCTTGAATTGAAGTAAAGTAGCGCATTTAGCTAATTAAGAAAATGGCCGTTAGATAGTTTCTCAATTCCAAGTATTTCCGGATATAGATAAGAAAACCGTATTTTCCCAAAATATTTTTTCCTGACTGAACTTGAGATGAGATTTCAAAATAAAAAGTACAATAATGACATAATTAAAATCTCAAGGTGACGTTTCGTCTCTTGTCCTCAATTAAATACTTAATTTTTTCATATATGTGCTATATTAGATTTTTGTTCGGTTGAATAGAGTCTTTAATTCTGATTCCACTGCCAAACCTTAGTTGTTTCAGAAAAATGGAATTTCCTAATTAGGCCTTGAGATTATCATATACGAGCCCTTTCCCACTTCTGTTGGACCAGCTATTGAAATCTTAGTTTTTTTTTTCTTATCAAACACAAACAATAATTTGTAGCAGAGTGTTATAGGTTTAAAATATTAACAATGAATATTTTGATAATATGTAGTAGAAAACAGCAACTTTATCACTCCCTAATCAAATTTACAGCATAAAAATAACACATGTTGCAATTACAGCATATCAACCTATTTTCATTTCAATGTAAAATAAGTCTATAACGCCTAGGTGGCTGTGAAAAATAAAAGCCATGACAATTGTTTTTATTAATCACAGATGTTAGAATACGTTTAAAATAGTTTTGGGTAGTTAAGGTTTTCAAAATGGGTAGAGGAAAGGTTATTACTGAGAAAATTCGGTTACTGATAATTAAATTTTTTAATCCTGGGAAATCAAACTCAGAAATTGCAACTTTGTTAGACTTATCGCGGTACAGTGTCAGACATATTGTTAGAAGATATAACGTAACTGGTGCAGTTAATATTAAGCCACGATATGTGAAAAAAAGTAATATCACAAATGCCGACCGAAGAGCATTAAGGAGAATAATCGTGAAAAACAGGCGTGCCAATTATTTGAAATTAAGTGCTTTGTGGAGTGACGCTGTTGGACGGAGAATTTCGAGGCCCACAACTCGTAGAGAAGCCCACAAACTGGGATTTAGCACTTGCAAGATAAGTTTGCTTATAAAAAAAAGTGAAGTAAAAACCCTAAAGTTGCAAAAGTTGTTTATAGGCCAAAGAAAAGCCACTATTAACTCCACTGCAAAAGAAAAATCGACTTCTATGGGCTAAAGAACATAGATAATGGACACCTCAACAATGGTGTGCAATGGAGTGATGAGGCCCGATTCGAAGTTTGTGTTGCTGACAGTCGCAGTAGAGTTATTCGCAAAAAAAATGAAGCATTCCATGTTGACTGTCTGATGAGAAAAGTGAAATTTCCACATCCATTATGATCTGGGGCAGTATATCATCATCAAAAAGAGTAGGAAAACTTCATTCTATTAATATAAATGTGGATACAAACAAATATTTGGCAATTTTAAAAGAATCGCTTTTACCAGTGATGGAAGAATGTTTGACATCCGGCCAAGATTTTGTGTTTCAGCAAGATGGTGCAGCGTGCCATACCTCAAAAAAGGCTATAAAATGGATGGAAGAAAATAATGTACCACTTTTGAAATGGGTTTCTAGCAGTCCAGATCTGTCACCTATTGAAACTTTGTGGCACGAGATGAAAAAGGTTCTACGACAACATCCTGCTCGTACAATCACCGAACTGAGACAAAAGCTTCAAGAAATATGGGATTGTTTTACACCAAATTTTTGCCAAAACTTGGTAACACTATGCCCCAAAGAATTTCAGCCGTAACAAAAAATAAAGGACTTCGCGCATTTATTCGCACATTGTTTATTTGTTCAGATGTTCTATTAGTTATAGGTCTAAGTGATTTCAAATATGTATTTTTTACGACTAGAGCATTGATTCCCAAAGTGGTCTATATCGACCCCTAGGGGTCTATGACAACCTGCAAGGGGTCTACGTCAGCGAAAAAAAATTTGGGGGTCCATGAAATGAATATGGGGGTCCACGATAGTTGATCTCAACACATGCACTGATAGTACCTATTTACTTACATCATACTATCTTATAATATCAAAAGATATACATTATTTATAAAAGTACCTATGAAGTAAAAAATTTATTATATATGTTTATAAAATTGTGTAAGATGTAGGATGTTGGTATTCGCTTTGTGGTCGCAATACATTTTGAACTTGTAAAAACCTGAGAGTCGCAGTCTCAGAGCTTCGCTACCTTGCACTGACTCGTCACTCTATAAATACGAATGTGGGACAAATACGTTTATTCGTTTCCTGAATCTTGAAAAGGAAAGTGCTAAGAAAATATTTTAAAAAATATAAACAGATAGTATATCACACAAATTATAGTGAGTCAGTGTTATTTTGTTTGAGAGTGCTGGAGAAAAGTACATTATTTTTTATTAAATTTTAGTTTTGTACTCGTAGTTAGCAAAGATAGTTAAATTACGCCAATCATGACTTTAGTTATTAGTAGTTAAATATTCAATCATGGAAAATTACACGAGTACTCCTCAATAGTTTCTTTTTGAAAGTTTTAGCAATCGGTAATATAATTACAGTGCAATCTCAATAATTCGAGCTAATTGTTGCAAGAAGATGTTCGAATTATGGAATGTTTTCGGAAAAATCAAAAAATATTTTTAATATACAGCTGCTGCATTTTCTGTCTTATTTAAATAATTTATTTTTGCCCACTGATGACTGATGCCATCTCCGAATCTAAAAAGAAATGTAGACAGTACAGTGTTGATTATTTGAAATTTGGCTTCATTCCATCATTTCCGGACAAACAATCGCCTATGTGCCTTTTATGCAACAAAGTTTTGGGCAATGACGCTATGAAACCATCTAAACTGCAAGATCATCTGAGAAGATGCCACCCTGATAAAACAGAGAAAGATTTGAAATACTTTCAAACACTCAAAGATAAATTTCAGAAGAGACCTACACTGGACAGAATGTTCGCTTCGACGTCACAAAGAAATGATGAATCCGGAAAACCGCATACTATCGGAGAGAAGTTAATTTTGCCAGCCGTTGAAGAGGTTTTAAAAACTGTTTTACACAAACCTGCATCTGATATCATTAAAAGAATTCCCTTAAGCAACAATACTGTTGAAAGACGTATTGATGAAATCAGTTCTGATATTGGAAGCTTCTTATGTAATTATTTGCAAACGACCCATTTCTCTATACAACTGGACGAGTTAACTGTACCTGATAATGCAGCATTATTATTGGCATATGTTCGTTTTATTATGAATCAAGAAATCTACGAAGAACTGCTCTTCGCAAGAACTTTGATAACCGACACTAAAAGTGAATCAATATTTCATGTTTTGAAGGATTACTTCATTGAAAAAGCAATTCCTTTATCAAATATAATATGAGTAGGTACAGATGGAGCACCTGTCATGGTTGGACGTTATCTTGAATTTATAAGCTATTTAAAACAAAATGTGTCAGGGGTGTTAGCAATCACTTCATTTAGTCATTGATGCAGTAAACCGAATCCGAAGCAACGCGTTGAATACGCGGTTATTTGCGCAGTTGTGTGAAGAAAATGACGAACACTTTTATTAATTACTCCTTCACACTGAAGTACGCTGGCTGTCGAAAGGCTTATGTTTGACAAGATTTGTTGCACTTTTTGAGACTATTTTAGAATTTCCGGATACTAACGATAAAATTTTAAAAGAAAATTTAATGAAGAGGAAAACAGACATCGCCTATTTAACAGATTTGTTTACAAAATTTAATATGGTTAATTTGCAATTACAAGGCGACAGTTTAAATTTGATTAAAACAAAGTCCATCTTATCAGCGTTTCTTGTCAGAGTTAAACAAACAAAGCAAAATATTGGACGGGGCGAATTTTCTCAGTTCCCCAATTTGTCACAGTGAAGCTGCCAGGAAGACGACGTTTCAACTTACGTTCAACATTTAAATGCCCTCTATTCAGATTTTGAATCTAGGTTTGAGGATATTTTGACTATTGTAATACCACCGTGGATAATTAATCCATATAGTGACATAGAAGAAACGAATGTCATAATACAAGAGGAACTGACTGAACTAAGTACAAACGAAGAACTTAAGGTTCAGTTTAAAAACGGATATCAGCAAATCTGGCTGCAAAACAACATACCCGTTACTTATCCCGTATTATGGAATATAGCGAGGAAATTTTTGATTTCCTTTCCATCGTCATACCTAGTGGAAAGGGGATTCAGCGCTATTACCAATCTCCTAACGAAAAAAAGAAACAGACTGGGCATCATTAGCCGAGGAGATTTAAGATTAACCCTTACAAAATTAACGCCAAATGTTGATAATTTATTATTAAAGCATCAGGTTCATCCTTCTCACTAAAAATATTGACTTACTGCTTATGTTATTTTATTTATAGTTTATTTTATGTTTATTGGTGTCCGACCAATAAATGTCCGCATTGGGAATAAGTGCCCGCATTGATTTTTTTAAAGAACCTCCCTTTATAGAAAATAATTTTTTTTTTAAATTATTCCGAAAATTGAAGGATAGGTACACACTAAAATTCGTTAATTTTTTGCCTATTTTTAGCTAACTTAAACGTATAAGAAGCTGAATTTAATCAAACTAACAGTGAAATTATTGTAGAACGTACGTTTATGTCATAATTAATAAACTAACTCGCTTATTGTACTATTTTAAGTAAAAAACTTTTTTTTTATTATTTTTCACTTTTTTTTTATTATTTTTCACTTTTTTTATTTGATCCCTCTTATTTTTTTTTTAATGCGGGCACTTATTCCCAATGCGGGCACTTATTGGTCAGACACCTGTCTATTTAATGTTACGTATATTTTACATAATAGATACAACATTTTATTTTGAGTAGTTTTAATTTAAATTCAATTAATACATGTATAAATTAACATGTGTTTTTACGTTAAGTTTTTAACACTAAACTTCACTACAGTTAGAAATTTACAGGAAATCAATATCAGGTAAGGAGGGGGTCTACCCAACACGGAAAAACATGGCAAGGGGTCTACGACACTCTGGACTAGAGTATATCTAAAATGTTTTTGAGACAATAAATTGTTTTAGAAGTAAATAGTTTCGTCATGTTTAGTTTATAAAGGCATATTTTGGTACAAATCTTGAAGTGGGTCAACTGAAGTGGGAAGGGGCTCGTAGACATTTATTTCATCAAATATATAATAAATGATATTTTCTGATTTTTGTTGTTTAAATAAGAATATTTGTAGGTGGAATAATAATTTGAATCGATAAAAAAAATATTGAATCGAAGCTATGTGGTGGAATAGAAAATATCTACAGAATGTTTAAGATGAGGATGGGGTGGGTATGGGATGGGAATGGGGTGGACATGGGATAGGCATGGGATGGGCATGGGATGGTCATGGGATGGGCATGGGATGGGCATGGGATGAGCATGGGATGGGCATCGGATGGGCATGGGATGGGCATGGGATGAGCATGGGATGGGCATGGGATGGGCATGGGATGGGTACGGGATGGGTACGGGATGGGTACGGGATGAGTATGGGATTTAAAAATTAGCGGTATAAGTACTGTAAATATGACTTCGTATAGCAGCAAAGTGATTTACCAGCTTTGAGATACTGCATGACACCCTTGGCGTCCACTCCAACCTCGTATCTAGTCAGTTGAGGATACCTTTTTCCGATCACGTTCATGTTAGTAATAAATGGTAACCATATCTTCACAGGACGCCTTAGTTTGAAGGCTGCCACTGCTGCAGCTGTGGATATCAGAGAGTTTCTTGAAATCTTCCCTCCAAAAGATCCCCCGAGTCTTCTAACCTTTACGTTTATCCTGTAAGCGACTAAGATGTATTTGTTGACATTAACTTACTAGGATCTAAAATATTTTAAGAGAAGCCTAATTCAATCACAACATTTCCCATACTTTCGGGTTTCTCAGGTCATTCATTCGTTCACAGAATGCACAATAAAGAATTCAACTATGGATTCTGATTTTAAAATGAATATTTTGATGCAAATTCACACTCCATTCATCCAACTCAAAAAAAAGTATTATTACATAAGTTGACAGAAACACACACGCTTATTTTTGTGGGGTTGACACATTAAATAACATGTGACAGCTATTAAGTTTAATTGGTTTCTAAAACAGTTTACTCTATAAACTAATTTAAGTAAATCAAAATGGAATTTTTATTTTATACATAAATGATTTACCTGCCATAATCAAAAAATGCAAAATTCAGATTTTCGCCGATGACACTATGACTTATATAAGTACTAAAAATATTCAGATTGGTATCTCTTATATAAATGAAGACTTGAAACTTGTCGCAAAATGTTTAGGCATGCACGATGATCGTGCCAGGGTTAGAAGGCGACGTGGTGAAAGGAGGAATCCACAGTTTTTTGTTGAAAGACATGTTCATCACACTGTTGGAGTTATGGTTTGGGGTGCTATAGCTTATGGTTCCAGGTCACCTTTAATCTTCATCAGAGGTAATATGAACGCGCAGCGTTATATCCACGAAGTTCTAGAACCCCATCTTTTACCCTATCTTGACACCCTGGCAGATCCAACTTTCCAACAAGATAATGCCCGACCACATGTTGCAAGAGTCACAATAGACTTCTTTCAACATAATGATGTCACATTGTTACCATGGCCACCAAGATCTCCCGACTTATCCCCAATTGAGCACGTGTGGGATATGATGGGTAGGAGATTGCTCAATTTGCAACGTCCTCCTCAGACTCTAGAAGCACTTCGAGAGGAGTTGGTGATTGCCTGGAATGAGATACCACAGGAGAACATTGACCACCTGATCAGAAGCATGCCTAGGCGCGTTGGAGAATGCGTAGCACATCAGGGTGCATCCACACATTATTAAAGGTCAAAGGGCTTTAAAGCAGTGCAATCATTTTGAAATTTTTATCATTTACTTATTATGCTTCATTAAGTACTTATACAAAATTTTATTAAAATAAAACCAATTAAACTGTGTGTTTGGATTTATATGTCACTTAGTATATTTATCGAGAGTTTCTGGATGTCTGAGTTCATATAGCAGAAAAATTATCTATAATACCATCATTCTTCCAAATTTCTTGTACTGTTCGACTATTCTATATTTAGCATATAATTCCATTTTTGAAAGACTGCAAATTTTACAAAATAAGTGCATGAGAATAATACTAAATAAAGATAAATATACTCCAGTTAGGCAAATGCTTAGCAAATTGAAATGGATCAATGTAAAAAAATTATCAAATATCTTGTATTTATAAAGTAAAAAATAATATATTTCCATCAAGTCTAACTAATTTAACATCATCAAATGTCGACCATCATTTACATAATACCAGAAATAAAGATGACTTCCATTTAATGACCAAAAAGTATAACATATGCTACAAATCTGTATTCCATCAAGGGTTGATTGAATATAACAAATTATACTCAGAGATAAAAGACCAAAAAACTTTGACAAAATTTAAGGTAAAATTGAGAAATCACTTGTTAAATCTACAATTATAGGCTGCCCAGAATTTACATCATACATCATATGGCTTGAATTTACTAGTTCTAAGTTGTTTACAATAATTATTCTGTTTATGTAGCCAAATGTGCTAAATAAATCTTTCTACTACTACTACTCGTTTAATTAAATTTATTACACCAGTTCACTTGAAATTAATTTAAAATTAACACGAGTTACCTATTCCAAGTAAAACAGTTGAATAATATCTATTAAATGTGTTTAATTAGTTTGGGTAAAAGTATTTCTGGTCTAGTTTTTATGCATTATTTTATTTAGATCTAAAGGCATATTTGGATAATATCTGGAATTTAAAATAACAAATTGCATTCTACTGAATGATGTATATTATAACTGTGATCTGACAAATTTTATAGATCAAAAAATTTGGAAAATTTGGTATTAGATACTTGATGCTCTTCTAGTTCTGACAAAATTTGATATTTTTTATTTTTATTGATTATGAACTTATTATATTTGGGATCTGATTATCCAGAAACAGTCTATTATAATATATCACCATTCACTAGAAGCTATTCTTTTTTTCAAATACATAAGGTAGGTAAAGGGATGCCCACTTAATGATGTGTACAAAAATTGTTCCTGTATTTCTAATAATAAAATGATATGACACTCACCCACATTCAACGCATTAACCATATACGCGTATAAATAAATTCGACATCATTTATTTTAACTGCTTGTAGAACTCGTGAAAAGAAGTTGATATACCAAAAATCAACTATATAAAAGTTGCATAAGAAGTTGTTCACATTATTAAGGTGTCTCCGACGCAGTGTGTTTCAAGCCATTTACAAGGGTTCAGCTGCTTCGAAACTGACAGTCCATTTTTCAATATTTTTGAATGAAATTCATACAGTATATTCAGAAGATAATTGCCTTTTTGAAATTTTGTTTTTGCACAAGTTTTATGATGGGTTGAGGTGCGCACTTTTTCTGTTCAACTTCGCGATTTTTATAAAAAGAATCTAGTGAAAAAAATGTTTTTTTAAGTCATATGATATCTACATCACGACAAACTATATCACTCATCATCAACTTGGAAATTACCGATCGGATTTTTATGAAATTTCCACACGGGGTTACTAGTATGCCAAAGCTTTGTAGTTTTAGTCCAGTGGCAACGGTGCTATAGGCAAAAAAGAAAAAGTAACAATTCCTGAAACTCCGTTTTTGACGTTACAGGGGTTCCTTACACTGACATAAAATAATTGTACTGCTTAAAAAGTGGGGGTTGCGGGAAGGTGATTCTAAATGTTGCATCTTTGATATCAGTGAAACACGTTCTATTAGTAATAAGCTTCTGATCCCAGTGATTACACGAAATTTGAGTAACGAAAATCCGACGAATAATGTGCTCACGATTTGAAAAAATCGGTACCTGCACTATAGGTTTTACACCAAGAGCCAACAGACCTATCTGCAACTGCCCACAGTAGGGAAGAATGTATTCGGTTATGACTCCAGTCAAGTATAAGGGAATTTAGCGTGGAACTTTAAAATTATCGATATGTCAAGGAAATCTGTTTTTAAGAACGATAATTTGATAGATTGTATACCTGCAATTTCATTTGAATTTGATGACCCGTGAAATGTACCCATTTCGCCGTTACCTTCAATTTGTGTTCTGCAGTTTGTGATGTTTTTCTGGATATAAGCAGGACATAATTGCCTAAGGTGCTATCAGAGCTTTTTACAAAATTTTGTCTTTGCGCAAGAATTATGGTGTGTTGAAATGCTTACTATTTGTGCCCAACTTGATATTTTAAAAAGATCAAGGTGTATAACATCGAAAAAGCGGATCGTTAGCACCCTGTGCACTTTTTTTTTAGCACGCTGCAAGACTTTCATTTGGAAATAATAAAAAATGAAACGTAAGCTGTGAAGTGCAAATCAGTTTTTGGGCGAAATTCGTCTACTGTTTCAACCTGCCAGTCCAAGCGTCGTGACGGTGCGTTCCAACTAAGAAAAAATGGATTCAAATAATTTTATATCTTTCCTAAAATAAATTCAAGAACTCAAATTCTAATTCGTTTATTCATGTCAATAAACAGAATTATGTTTACAAGGGTCACGTGGTACATGGTAACAATTGAACGAGGGTCATAAAAATATCTTATGCCGTCAAAATAAGAGGAAACAGTTAGGTAGTTTTTGCAAAGCAATAAACAGGTAGGCTTATACCTGGATTAAGTATACTTCTTGTCTACTGTAATAGGTAGATGGAGGGGATGCTGTCAGAAATGGATGTGTGCGATCAATAAACAAATCACAAGATTGAACTGCGGTGTCCAATGATTTTTGCATTGCCTTTTTTATTGCCTTACTAGAAAACTCTGTTGGGTATATGATGGAGTTTACTAGAACTTCACGGCTTGCTGTCTGCCTTCTTCTACAAACTTCACCAAATCGAGACGCTGTCAACCTTATCCCCCGATGAAGGTGCCACAAAGTACAGTCCTGTGATTTGGTGACTTGTTCGATCTGCAAAATGTCGTCGTCACTTTTTTTAAGTTCCACTAAAAATTCTTGCTTAGCAACCTCCAAATTAATGTCGTTCATGTCAGGTTTTTGACATAATTCGCCATAAAACTATTCATTTTCTTTGGAATTGCTATCCGATTTGTTAGTTATTTTGTTTAGCTTTTTTTGGTCTGAGTTTCTTTTCAAGATTCTTACGTTTGAGTCTTTGTCCCATCTTAGCGATAAGCGAGGTTTGATTAAGCTCAGAACGTATTTGGACCACATAGACAGGCCGCTGGGTATTGTGGCTCACAGCTGCAGCATATCTTCCATGGTATGACCTCTTCTTGTAATAATTTACTCGCTTGCTCCCCAATGTATTTTGCAATTATAGAGTTGAACTGCACCGCACTATTGTTGACCTCATCATGAATTAAACTCACTGCATTCGTAATTAAAATGGTCGCATATGACCTTTTATTGTCCATTATCAACCTTGATAAAAAAAGGCACTCCAACAATTCAACAACTAAATGATCACTTGCTGAGTACTAAAATAGGAAACGATTTACAGGCTAGATCGCTAATCGAAATCCGACTCTGTTATTATAAAAATGTATAGGTATCTTGGTATCCACCCGCAATCATCCTTTCCTCTTTTAAAGATGCGCCGACGACCGTCTAGCGCCAGCCCACCCTGTTTCCTTTTCACCCCCCCCGTTACCTCAGCAGATGGTGCTCGTGATTGTAGGAGCCCCGTTAAAGATTATTTAAAAAAATCATTATCAAGTTAAATGGATACCGTGTTTACAAGAACTGTTCAAAATTCTCCTCATTTGTTCGATTAACTCAAGATCTTGCTCGGCATATCCACGACTCTCTACAAGCTACGAAAATAAAATCCTGGTGTCCACGAGTTAAGTCACAAGCATTTTCAGTGCGCTAATACTCTTCTTGTCGTATTGTCTTCCTATGAGAAACTTCAACTTGAGCTGCTATGGCTCTACTATTCATTGTTGGGTCGTCTTCGACCATTTCTAAAGTGTCCTCCGCAACTTGTAACATTTCAGGTTGAGCAGCTCGTCCGGCGTGACTTCCTCGTTGTTCTTTTAAATATCCTGTCTCACGAAGTCTTATAATTAAACTTACAAAAATCTGTGGGGCCAGATGATTTCTTAAAGGAAACCTGCATGCTGCGACTGCATTTTGTTGGCTTTCTCCGTATGTTAGTATTATGTCCACTAGTTCATTGTTTTCGAAAACATGAGCCATTCTTTAGCAAAAAATAATCATACAAATAAAAATATAAATTAAATACGTGTGGATCGTGGGTGATTGATTGCACTAAGGAATTATCACTCGCGTTCCTATTTCTCTTATAATCGCCAAAGGATGTTAGAGAAATACTTCAGTAACTTTTGTAGAGTAGCTTTTATTGAGGCATCAGCAACAGTTGAGAACAGAAGAACAAGTAACGAAATGAGTACAGACAATAGTCAAAGACCCTTTTTATATTCTAGGATTAGAGTTACGAATTTTCCAGAAATCAGTAGTGTCGGGTAAAAATGCAAGCATCTTCACATCCTGTCTCTCGAGTATGGGACGGTGTTATACTCGTAGAGATTAGGATGGTGTTAATGCCTTAAGGTAATGGCATCAGGATACCATAACTTATATGCACTTTTAAAAGAACAACCGATCAAGCCAAAGACTTAATATACTAAGTGACATATAAATCCGAACACCCAGTTTAAATGGTTTTATTATAATAAAAGTTTGTGAATATATTTATCTTACTGTAAATAACAAGTGAAAAAATTTTCAGCCTTATCAGTTGGACATTCCAGTTTTTATACTGCTTTTTTTTAATTCACTAACGCTCTAAAAATGAATATTTCAGCCGCAGTAAAGGATCAACGTTGGCGGATTTTGGTTCTTGACATCCTTTACGATCGGTTACGATGCCTAGAGTACGGAGACCTGTACGATTTCGTCAACTTAGTGAGTTTGATAGGGGCCGTATAGTGGGACTTCGGGAAGCTGGACTTTCTTTTCGGGCAATTGCAGTTAGAGTGCAAAGAAGTGTAGACACTGTGGTTAGGTGTTGTCAGGCACGGCTTCGAGAAGGCCGTACGCAAAGAGCAAGGGGCACTGGACGCCGCCGTAGAACAATAGACCGTGAAGATCGCCGCCTAAGATTATTGGCCTTAAGGGACCGTTTCTCCACTACCAGGTCCATTGCAAATGAATGGTTTGCAGAACACGGAAGACCTATTGGCATGCGAAGTGTTTGCCGACGAATGAGAAGTTTTGGCTTGTTTTCATACCGGCCACACTGGGTCCTCCCTTTAACTCGAGAACACCGACGTAATCGCCTTGAGTGGTGCAGAGCACGGTCACTCTGGGATCAGGAATGGAACAGTATTGTCTTTAGTGATGAGTCTCGATTTTGTTTAGGCATGCACGGTGGTCGTGCCAGGGTTAGAAGGTGACGTGGTGAAAGGAGGAATCCACAGTTTTTTGTTGAAAGACATGTTCATCACACTGTTTCAGTTATGGTTTGGGGTGCTATAGCTTATGGTTCCAGGTCACTTTTAATCTTCATCAGAGGTAACATGAACGCGCAGCGTTATATCCACGAAGTTCTAGAACCCCATCTTTTACCCTATCTTGACACCCTGGCAGATCCAACTTTCCAACAAGATAATGCCCGACCACATGTTGCAAGAGTCACAATAGACTTCTTTCAACATAATGATGTCACATTGTTACCATGGCCACCAAGATCTCCCGACTTATCCCCAATTGAGCACGTGTGGGAAATAATGGGTAGGAGATTGATCAATTTGCAACGTCCTCCTCAGACTCTAGAAGCACTTCGAGAGGAGTTGGTGGTTGCCTGGAATGAGATACCACAGGAGGACATTGACCACCTGATCAGAAGCATGCCTAGGCGCGTTGGAGAATGCGTAGCACATCAGGGTGCATCCACACATTGTTGAAGGTCAAAGGGCTTTAAAGCAGTGCAATCATTTTGAAATTTTTATCATTTACTTATTATGCTTCATTAAGTACTTATACAAAATTTTATTAAAATAAAACCATGTAAACTGGGTGTTCGGATTTGTATGTCACTTAGTATAATAACAGACGTCTTTATTTATCCACACTTACATTGTAGTATAGCCAAATGTCAGAGTTACATGGCGAAGTTTAGCATGCTGCTACTCTTACACAGTCTCTAGCAGATGTTCAAAAGAATACACTATCCACAAACAGATTTGGTTCATTAGATCGAAAGTAAAGATTAAAAAAAGAGAAAAAGGCATACTTTCCAAACCCAAGTACAAGAAAAAATTATTAATCTGAATTAAAGACTGAATAAAAAAGAAATCAATGATTACGTAAATTATATGTTTGGAGGTTTGAGTAATAATGTTTTAACTTTTTGTCGAAAGACAGGTGATGAAAATTCTTTATATACTTTAGGAAGGTCATTATAAATAATAGCAACATTGTAAGAAAAACTGCGTTTAAAAAGTGTAGACGTATGCAGGGGTATTCTAATATTATTTTCTCTGAGAGTTCTACAGTGAACATCATTATTGAATGAAATTTTTTCCTGCAAGTAATAAGGTTTAGACGTGAGCAGCAATTTGTGAACAAAAACTGAATAGTGATACTTGACCATGTCATTAATTTTTAACCATTTTAGAACTGGATATTTCGCTGATAGATCAAATTTACGTAAGCCAAAGATGAAACGTATACAATTGTTTTGAATAACTTGAATAACAAGTATAGTATAAGATATTACAATAATTTAGTATAGATATGACCAATGCTTCACATAGTTTTTTACGCAACTTAAAATTTAGTAAATACCTGTTTGCTATAAGAGTACTGAAAACAAGTAGGTAACACAAAAAGTTCTCCAAAGTTAGATAAACGATAAAAGTAGTAAACAAAGAACGCTATGATATCACACGGCATTAGTCGAGAAAATCACGAAATCTGTGTAATAACGTTCTTATTTTTTGAAGTTTTCAATCTTTTACAATTTCTTTTATTATGCAACCTTTATATAGTTGATTTTTGGTATATCAACTCATTCTGACAAGTCCTACAAGAAGTTTCAATGAATGACTCAACTTTTAAAACCTGTATACAATAAAAATAAGAACACATCAAGCCTATGTTAAGCACATGTTTGGTATAAATGCCCTTCATTGTCCTAAAGATGGCTGCGTGAATGAAATTTCGAAGTTCATATCATTATGAAGATATATTCTAACCATGGTTTGGTTATGGGTCACCAAGCGCCTCAAGCTCGAGTACTTCGCTTGATCACCATAATAGATCCACTTCGTAACTACTACACAAACAACGGTGACATTCTTATATCAGGTTCCTCGTGAAAATCACAAATGAAATTGAGGAGCTGGCATACTCCCGATCATTCACGAATGGAGGGCCGAGTTCACGATTCAAATAAACTATTTTTATTAAAATGTTTAATTGAACCCTAAATTAATTAAACAGTTTGATAAAACAGGTACATGATTAAACTCGTTCCATAACATTTGGTTCAATCAAAAGCGAATAATTTAGTTATTTAAAATAATTTAAAAACACATTACGAGTAATGAAAATTTTCCAGAACAATTGTTTAATTGGCCACGTTTTCACAGTGTAGCATTCTAAAACATTTCTTACGTCTGTGTTGGGATAGCTAAAGCCTCAGCAGCAGCTAGTTGACATAGATCCATCCACTGCGTTACAGGGTAAATATCAAAACCGTCTTCAGTAGGAACTACTTGGCAACATTGTACTTCCATATGAAAATGGTACTGCCAGGCCGTATAAAACTCTCCTTTTATAACCTTCTTTATGTCATTTCCTACAAGAAATATACATATAATTATACCCTATTTCACGAGTATCCATTACGTTTTGGCGTCTACTGAGGTGAAAAGATGATCGGCAAGTGGAGTCTTTGTATACTCAGTGTCATTAGAAGTGTTATATCCGGAAAAAAATAATTTCTTAAACTTATTTTTTGGAAACATTATGACTATACAGGGTGGCCAAACACGTGACGTCATAAAAAAAAAATTAGATTCCCCACATCGAGAGGAACCCAAATCACCCCCATATATATGGTCCGATTTTGTTTAGTTTAGGAGTTATGATTTTTTTTCGGATTTTTCGAGAATTTTTGAGTTCTGTGTTTATTTTTACCATAACTTCGTTAATAATTGTGATAAATGCCTGCTTTTTTCACGATTATGTAGCTAAGACCTAAGGCTTAACTATCATATAATCATTCAAGTCATGTAACTAATACTACTTTTTAATTTTTTTCAAAATCTTCGAACATAACAAAAAAGTAAAAAAGTGCAACAACTTTGAACGTTTATAAAACATTGAAAAAACATGTTCTGACTATTCGTAAGTATCTTAAAAACTTCCTTACGGTATCAGCTATTTACCATAAAAATTTCATCAACCTAGCTTTACTACATGCTACCGTAATTGTGGCTCAAATAGAACCGAACCCAAAATTGGATAACCCTCTGCTCAATAGAAATTGTTAGTTTCGGAAAAAAAATTTGCAAAAACCACAAAAACACGTTTGATTTTTACTGAACAGCAGATTATTATTCATTTATGTTATTTACAAGAGGTTTTCAAAATGTCTGCCTCTAACAGAAATGCACAGTGTACACCTACGTATGAAATTTTGTTTTAAATCACTAAATGCTTGTGTGTTGTTTTTCAACACATGTGTCGCTTCTTGAATTTTGTTCCTCAATGAATTTTCATTTGCACATTCTTGGGCGAATGTTATGTCTTTAAAATATCCCCAAACAAAAAAATCAATGGGGTTGAGGTCAGGGGAGCGTGGAGGCCATCGTATCGGTCCGTTTCGTCCGATCCATCTGTCTGGGAACCTTTCGTTTAAGTAGATTCGCACGATCGTTGCGTTGTGGCATGGTGCACCATCATTCTGGAACACCATGTTCCGTCTGGCTTCCAGGCTTGAATCTTCCAGCAATAATGGTAGGCTATTTTCAAGGAAGCTTTTGTAGGCTACCGAATCCAACCTTGGCGGCAGTTCAAATGGACCGATAAATTCCATATTGAATATTCCTGACCACATGTTCACACTAAAACGGTGTTGAAATGTCGTTGCATTATTATTATGGCGTTGCTCAAGGCAACGGCGCTTTAGCAGCTCAGCTGTACCGGGAACAACTTATACGCCGAGGCGGACCACAACCTGAGCATTACCCTGACCACCGTGTTTTTATTAACACACATAACACTTTCATGGCAGGCCGCATTCCAGGACGAGGAAGCAATGAAGGATATCCTACAGCTGATCCGGATCGCAGAGAAGTAGTACTTGAAGAAATTAGCCGGAATCCCTCAACGAGTACGAGATCTATGGCACAAAACCTTAGAATACCACGAACATCGATACAAAATATTCTTCATGAAGAAGGTTATCATGCCTATCATGTTCAAAGAGTTCAAGCGTTGATGCCTTCAGATTACCAGTTAAGAGTGGATTTCTGCGAGACAATGCTGCGAAGACAACGAGAGGATCCCGATTTTTTTGATAAAATTTTATTGACTGACGAGTCACGTTTTGAAAGAACAGGGATATTCAATATCCATAATTTACATATTTGGGCTGTTGAAAACCCCCACCAGTCAAGGCCGTCGACATTTCAACACCGTTTTAGTGTGAACATGTGGTCAGGAATATTCAATATGGAATTTATCGGTCTATTTGAGCTGCCGTCAAGGTTGGATTCGGTAGCCTACAAAAGCTTCCTTGAAAATAGCCTACCATTATTGCTGGAAGATTCAAGCCTGGAAGCCAGACGGAACATGGTGTTCCAGAATGATGGTGCACCATGCCACAACGCAACGATCGTGCGAAACTACTTAAACGAAAGGTTCCCAGACAGATGGATCGGACGAAACGGACCGATACGATGGCCTCCACGCTCCCCTGACCTCAACCCCATTGATTTTTTTGTTTGGGGATATTTTAAAGACATAACATTCGCCCAAGAATGTGCAAATGAAAATTCATTGAGGAACAAAATTCAAGAAGCGACACATGTGTTGAAAAACAACACACAAGCATTTAGAGATTTAAAACAAAATTTCATACGTAGGTGTACACTGTGCATTTCTATTAGAGGCAGACATTTTGAAAACCTCTTGTAAATAACATAAATGAATAATAATCTGCTGTTCAGTAAAAATCAAACGTGTTTTTGTGGTTTTTGCAAATTTTTTTTCCGAAACTAACAATTTCTATTGAGCAGAGGGTTATCCAATTTTGGGTTCGGTTCTATTTGAGCCACAATTACGGTAGCATGTAGTAAAGCTAGGTTGATGAAATTTTTACGGTAAATAGCTGATACCGTAAGGAAGTTTTTAAGATACTTACGAATAGTAAGAACATGTTTTTTCAATTTTTTATAAACGTTCAAAGTTGTTGCACTTTTTTACTTTTTTGTTATGTTCGAAGATTTTGAAAAAAATTAAAAAGTAGTATTAGTTACATGATTTGAATGATTATATGATAGTTAAGCCTTAGGTCTTAGCTACATAATCGTGAAAAAAGCAGGCATTTATCACAATTATTAACGAAGTTATGGTAAAAATAAACACAGAACTCAAAAATTCTCGAAAAATCCGAAAAAAAATCATAACTCCTAAACTAAACAAAATCGGACCATATATATGGGGGTGATTTGGGTTCCTCTCGATGTGGGGAATCTAATTTTTTTTTATGACGTCACGTGTTTGGCCACCCCATGTATTTAAAGCATGCTGTGGCATCAATGCCAACGTTTTACCTCTGTGTTTGTTTACCTTTGATAAAATGTTATCTCTTAGTTTTTGTTTCTCAGAGCTGAGTAGTACAGATATTTTTAGTTACTGCCCTTTAATTTACTAGTGTTAAGCGTAACAAAATGCCTAGAGCTCGAATACGTCCAAATTATCACCATATTAGCGACTTTGACAGGGGTAGAATTATTGCCTATAGAGATGTTGGTTTGTCCTATCGCGAATTTGGCCACCGTGTTAATTGTACTTCAGTAACGGTAATGCGTGTGTGTCGTGTATGGATAGATGACGATGGAGGAACACGAAGAAGGCCAACTGGTCGACCGAGGTGCACCACAGAGCGTCAAGATAGGCGCTTTAGAAAACTAGCAGTACGAGACCGTTTTGCTACTACGCGTCAGATCGCTGACCAGTGGTTTAGAGAAGAAAGTAGACCCTGTTATTATGCATACACTTTATCGCCGCATTCGAGCCTTGGCACATTTTTCATACCGTCCACGGTGAGTGCTTCCTCTGACTGCGGACCACTGTCGTCAACGTTTGAACTGGAGCAGAAAACGACAACATTGGGAGGCAGATCACATTATTCGATTGTACCACTTTAGACTATGCATACTGGTATGCACATATACAGTTCAAATTATTTGGGAAACGTTATGATCTTTGTACTTTTTACCGTTCACTAAACAGTGATGCGGATACATTTTTAACGTTTTTTGAAGAAAAATGCGAAAAAATGTGGAATTTCAGAAACAATATTAGGTGATTTTAATTTAAATTATTATAGTAAAAGCATGAAAACAAGAAAATTGAATGAAACCATAAATAACTATGGGTTCAAGCAAAAAATTGAAGAGAGTACCAGAATAACATCATTATCAGAGACTTTGTTAGATCTTGTTATTGTAAATTTCGAATGTGCAGGGATTAAAGCTGTACATAGACCTAAAGTTAGTGATCACAGTTGGACAATGCTGCTTTTGGTAGGGCATTTTTCTGATACAAAGATTAAGAAAATCGTAAATACTACTACTACGAAAAATTTGAACGAGAATTTGCTGGCTGCTATTGGAATTTTGGTGAGAATATGGAAAAAATATATGACAACATAATAGGAAATATAAAAGATTGTTTAGATCTTGCAACTGATAAAAAAGTGATTTGCTCGACAAAAAATACACCCTGGTATAACAAGAATATTAAGGCAGCTCAAAATTTGAGAGACAAACAATACAATAAATGTATATTCACAAAATCAAATAATGATTGGGAGGTATATAAAACTCTTAGGAATAGATGTGTGTATGTAATTAGAGAAGAAAAAAGGAAATTCTACGATAAACAAATCGATAATAACAAGTGCGACAGTGGAAAGATGTGGAAGACTTTAAAAAGACTGATCAATCAAGCAGCATGATTGTGTAAATCAAGTTCAATTCGAAAACGGTACCGAAACAAATTCTTTATTGATTGCAAACAAACTAAATGAATATTTTGTGGAAAGTATTGTTGATATTGTGGGTACTGCCAATGTTGCACCTGACTATATGAAAATCAGTTTCCAGGGGGAAATGTTGCATACACTTTCAAAATTTCACAGCGTATCATTGAATTATCTAAGAAAAAAAGTAGACAGTTTAAAATCAAATAATAACTGTGCCCAAATCACTACTAAAAACGTGCTGAAAAACTGTTTCAAAATTTTAGGATATCCTGTATTAAATTGGATCAATTGTTCACTGAGAAGCAGTTCTTTCCCTGAAAATTTGAAATGCTCTACAATAACACCAGTTCCCAAAATAAAAAATTCTAAAAGATGCAGCGATATGAGACCAGTAAATGTGTTACCAGACATTGAAAAATTATTAGAGTCCATAGTGCATGACCAATTAATGCAGTTTATAGAAGAAGACAAAATTTTAGTGGAGGCGCAAGCAGGCTTTCGAAAAAAATATTCCACAGAAACAGCTTTCCAGTTGGTAACTGAGAATTGGAGAAGAGCCATAGACTCAGAAGAAGTTGTCATAGCAGTATTTTTGGATTTGAAGAGGGCATTTGAAACGATTGATAGAGATATTTTGTTAGGTAAATTGAAGGCATATGGTATAACAGGAAGTGTTTTAGATTGGTTTAGAAATTATTTGTCTAAAAGGATGCAAGTTACAAAAGTTAATGACACTATTTCATCAAAAATTGAAAATACGTTGGGTGTTCCACAGGGCAGTATCCTGGGACCACTTCTTTTTATTTTATACATAAATGATTTACCTGCCATAGTCAAAAAATGCAAAATTCAGATTTTCGCCGATGACACTATGATTTATATAAGTACTAAAAATATTCAGTCTGGTATCTCTTATATAAATGAAGACTTGAAGCTTGTCTCAAAATGGTTAGCATCTAACAGACTAAAATTAAATACAAGTAAAACGAAAGCCTTGTTAATCGGAAAAAACAATGTACAAATGTTCAACTGAATATTGATGGTGAAGATATCGAATTCGTAGAAAATTTTAAATACCTGGGGCTTTTTGTTCTCTCTCGATTAATTTTTGATATTCAGTATGAAAAAGTTATAAATAAGATTAGTAGTAAAGTGGGATATTTATCGAGAGTTTCTGGATGTCTGTTCATATAGCAAATTATCTATAATACCATCATTCTTCCAAATTTCTTGTACTGTTCGACTATTCTATATTTAGCAAATAATTCCATTTTTGAAAGACTGCAAATTTTACAAAGTAGGAGCATGAGAATAATACTAAATAAAGATAAATATACTCCAATTAGGCAAATGCTTAGCAAATTAAAATGGCTCAATGTCTAACTAATTTAACGTTATCAAATGTCGACCATCATTTACATAATACCAGAAATAAAGATGACTTCCATTTAATGACCAAAAAGTATAACATATGCTACAAATCTGTATTCCATCAAGGGTTGATTGAATATAATAAATTATACTCAGAGATAAAAGACCAGGAAACTTTGACAAAATTTAAAGTAAAATTGAGAAATTACTTGTTAAATCTACAATTATAGGTTGGCCAGCATTTACATCATACACCATATGGCTTGAATTTACTAGTTCTAAGTTGTTTACAATTATTCTGTTTATGTAGCCAAATGAGCTAAATAAATCTTTCTACTTCTACTATTACTAGAATGACATAATGTCATCTTCAGCGACAAATCGCGATTCTCCCTAGGTACGCACGATCGTCTTAGGAGGTTAAAGGCCTATTCATACCGAACCGTGACGTGACAGTGCTGAGACCGGCACGAGATCTGCCCGGTGAAACTACAAACATTCTTCCTGGAATTTGGATGAATTGATTCACACTAGATCGGCACGTGGAAGTGGCCGTGTTCTCAGTACCCTCGACGACGCCCCGGCTCGTCACGGCACTGTCACGTCACGGCTGAGTATGAATAGGTCTTAAGACGCCGCTGTGGAGAACGACGTGATATTGGATTTGCTGTTGAGAGACATGTTCACAGGACGGTTAGAGTAATGGTTTGGTGGGCTATTGCTTATAAATAGATAGATAGACATTTATTTCCAACATAGTACATGTGCACTCAATAACAGGAAATGCGTAAAATCAAATGAACATTTCGTTTTATGTAAAAGAAAAAATATAACTGATGTTATATAAAAATAAACAGTTGCATAATATAAAAAAGATATTTCGAAAAAGTTACATATTAAATGTGATCTGCAAAATAGAACTATATGTTAAACTAGCGAGATAGGGGAAAAATTGATGTCACAGCTGTTACATATCAAATTAAAATTGTTACAAACTATCGAAATAGGCGACTTAGCTAAAATGTTGGTTCTAGGGCATTCACAATAAAATACTCTAGAATTTATTGCCAACGGTGGAGTGTAACACAAAAATGTCACTTCATGATCCTGACCTCAGCAGACGTCAAAGCGTGATGGATACTCGTGTAACAGGGTATATTTAACATGCTATAAATCATGTTTCAAGATGTTAACCTCAAAAAGCAACCGCTACTGTGATGGCGCGTGAGCTGACAATCTACAGTCTTAGAAATAATAGGATGACTACTATTCGTCAGAGCGGTTCGGTGGACTCTAGTTAAGTATCGTCGGTCTGTTAGTCTGTCAAGTCTGGCTACCCAGATACCAAACATGTTTAAGTGGAAAAAGGAAAGAAAGGAAGGAATAAATAGAGCTGTTACGGGTTTAATTTGAAATCATACTCTTGCCTCAGAGTTCAAGATTTATTAGCTGAAAATTGTACACTGTGAGCGGTTACCAAGACTAGATTCACAATCTTAAGTCCTAGGTGCTATCGTGGTCCGTGGGATCAGCCCTAAACTTTGTCCAAACCTTGTAGGAACTGCCATGACCCTGCAATAATCGTAAACACTAAACAAGGGTAGACATATTTCTAGTTTAAGTACCTGAAGATTTTATCTATGGTTTATATGTAACTCTCCACCTATTATCTCATTTTGTAGTTGAGGCCGCTTCATCTGAGAATTGTTTACATCTTCGTTTCTTTCCTAACCTCAATGTTACATTTTGACAAGTGTTCGGTCCTTTCAGTCCGGGAACAGTCCGCTGTTGTTCCATTGCTCCATTGCTCCTCTCGAACTTTGTGTTCCGTGTCCAAGCTGAAGATACTTCACTTTTTGGTCGTAGCTCTGTTGAGAACCACGCATTTTGCGGATCTTTACGCCAAATGAAGTCTAAGCGTTCTTCCTTTTGATGTCTCATATAATCCTACGGGGATGTGGGAGACGGGAGTCTTCGACGCTTTTACGGCGTTCTAGCCGACACTTTTAGGCCACACTCCAACAGAGGTAAGCAATTCGGCTTGTGTTAAAATGGAACCCGGCGCCATATTGGATTTTGTTTCAGGCCTTTTTCATCTTCTTCCAACTTTTTCATCTTCTTCCAACTTTTTCATCTTCTTCCAACTTTTCGTCTTCTTCACCTTACGTTTTCTCCACCAAACTACTGCTGATACCTTATGCAGTTCGACGGGGTTTCAGCACATGGCGTCTGTGGACATTGGCAACAGCTGAATCAGCTCCCTTCCTCAGGGGCTGCTTGGAACTCTCATTACAGGGCAGGGCGTGGAAAAGTCGTCAGGGCTTCATCTGAGGGTATCCTTCGTGAAGGGAAGGTTTTCCCTTCAGGAAAAACTTTCTCCAGGAAAGAGGGGTGTGTTACGGGTTTAATTTGAAGGTATCAGCAGTAGTTTGGTGGAGAAAACGTAAGGTGAAGAAGACGAAAAGTTGGAAGAAAGTGAAAAAGTTGGAAGAAGTTGAAAAAGTTGGAAGAAGATGAAAAAGTTGGAAGAAGATGAAAAAGGCCTGAAACAAAAATCCAATATGGCGCCGGGTTCCATTTTAACGCAAGCCGAATTGCTTGCCTCTGTTGGAGTGTGGCCTAAAAGTGTCGGCTAGAACGCCGTAAAAGCGTCGAAAACTCCCGTCTCCCACATCCCCGTAGGATTATATGAGACATAAAAAGGAAGAACGCTTAGACTTCATTTGGCGTAAAGATCCGCAAAATGCGTGCTTCTCAACAGAGCTACGACCAAAAAGTGAAGTTTCTTCAAGTTGGACACGGAACACAAAGTTCGAGAGGAGCAATGGAGCAATGGAACAACAGCGGACTGTTCCCGGACTGAAAGGACCGAACACTTGTCAAAATGTAACATTGAGGTTAGGAAACAAACGAAGACGTAAACAATTCTCAGATGAAGGGGCCTTAACTACAAAATGAGATAATAGGTGGAGAGTTACGTATAAACCATAGAGAAAATCTTCAGGTAGTTAAACTAGAAATATGTCTACCCTTGTTTAGTGTTTACGATTATTGCAGGGTCACGGCAGTTCCTACAGGGTTTGGACAAAGTTTAGGGCTGATCCCATGGACCACGATAGCACCTAGGACTTAAGATTGTGAATCTAGTCTTGAAAGCCGCTCACAGTGTACAATTTTCAGCTAATAAATCTTGAATTCTGAGGCAAGAGTATTATTTCAAATTAAACCCGTAACAGAGCAAAGGAAAGAAGTAAATCATTTGAAATAGCTTAAGCATTATTGCTTTGACTACTCGAAATAATTTTGATCGGTTTTGTATACTGAAATAATTTTGGCTGGTCTGAATTTACAATTTAATTTTGATCACAGTGCGACGCGGCCTGGAATGTTTGCGAACTTGCTCGACTGTATTGCCTACTGAATCACGCAACAGAGGGTTGCTGTGCGATTCCGCTTGATTAATAATAAGATGACATTCAGTACCTTTGCTTTTCGGTATGAAATTCGTATTGTTTTTGATCCTGCCTTTGGCACCTGCATTTACCACTTGCTTCACATTGAGGAACGGTTTTTCTGTTGGCGCAGTGTATTCGACTTTCACCATTTCTGCTGCTTTCACAGCAGTATCATGGCTGTCAGCCACAATTAACCCAATAGGTTGGTAGTAGTACTGAACACGACCATTGCAGAAGAGCTCATCTTGTACGGGAAAGCCTCCCATCTTGGGCATGAACGTGTTGTTTCCTGGCACGTCTTTCGCGGAGTAGAATGCTATCACACCCTGCATGTTCTGAAAATTAACAGACAAATGGTAACGATAATATATGATATTCCGTAAGGAAATAGACATAGTGAAATAATAGGCTTTTTACCAGATGAAAGTAAAAAGCTCTAAGTTATTTTTCATGGATACGAGCGATGTCTTTTAAGTTTTGCATATGGAAATAAATCAACACGGTAGGTAGTTTTAAATGACTTTATTGTTTTTCGAAGTATTCTCCACGAAGATTAATACACATATGCATGCGCTCGAACCAATTTCCGAAGCACTTATTCCACTCGTTTGCTGGCAGATCCAAAACGGCATTTTTGAATGCGACAACTGCTTCTTCTGGTGACTGGAGCCTCTGACCACGCAGTGTGTTTGTAATTTTCGGGAAAGTAAAGAAATCGTTAGGACTTAGATCGGAACTATACTAAGTGACATATAAATCCGAACACCCAGTTTAAATGGTCTCATTTTAATAAAAGTTGGTGAATGTATTTATCTTACTGTAAATAACAAGTGAAAAAATTTTCAGCCTTATCAGTTGGACATTCCGGTTTTTATACTGCTTTTTTTTAATTCACTAACACTCTAAAAATGAATATTTCAGCCGCAGTAAAGAATCAACGTTGGCGGATTTTGGTTCTTGACATCCTTTACGATCGGTTACGATGCCTAGAGTACGGAGACCTGTACGATTTCGTCAACTTGGTGAGTTTGATAGGGGCCGTATATGGGACTTCGGGAAGCTGGACTTTCTTTTCGGGCAATTGCAGTTAGAGTGCAAAGAAGTGTAGACACTGTGGTTAGGTGATGTCAGGCATGGCTTCGAGAAGGCCGTACGCAAAGAGCAAGGGGCACTGGACGCCGCCGTAGAACAACAGACCGTGAAGATCGCCGCCTAAGATTATTGGCCTTAAGGGACCGTTTCTCCACTACCAGGTCCATTGCAAATGAATGGTTTGCAGAACACGGAAGACCTATTGGCATGCGAAGTATTTACCGACGAATGAGATGTTTTGGCTTGTTTTCATACCGGCCACACTGGGTCCTCCCTTTAACTCGAGAACACCGACGTAATCGCCTTGAGTGGTGCAGACAACGGTCACTCTGGGATCAGGAATGGAACAGTATTGTCTTTAGTGACGAGTCTCGATTTTGTTTAGGCATGCACGATGGTCGTGCTAGGGTTAGAAGGCGACGTGGTGAAAGGAGGAATCCACAGTTTTTTGTTGAAAGACATGTTCATCACACTGTTGGAGTTATGGTTTGGGGTGCTATAGCTTATGGTTCCAGGTCACCTTTAATCTTCATCAGAGGTAACATGAACGCGCAGCGTTATATCCACGAAGTTCTAGAACCCCATCTTTTACCCTATCTTGACACCCTGGCAGATCCAACTTTCCAACAAGATAATGCCCGACCACATGTTGCAAGAGTCACAATAGACTTCTTTCAACATAATGATGTGTGGGATATGATGGGTAGGAGATTGCTCAATTTGCAAAGTCCTCCTCAGACTCTAGAAGTACTTCGAGAGGAGTTGGTGGTTGCCTGGAATGAGATACCACAGGAAGACATCTACCACCTGATCAGAAGCATGCCTAGGCGCGTTGGAGAATGCGTAGCACATCAGGGTGCATCCACACATTATTAACGGTCAAAGGGCTTTAAAGCAGTGCAATCATTTTGAAATTTTTATCATTTACTTATTATGCTTCATTAAGTAGTTATACAAAATTTTATTAAAATAAAACCATTTAAACTGGGTGTTCGGATTTATATGTCACTTAGTATATATGTGACAATAAAACATAATTTTAATAAGTGTGAATGCAGTTATGTGTTTTAAAATTTAATTCGAGGATGCCAGGATTTTATTCTCTAATTTTGAACGGTTTTTGTAGATATCCATTTAATTTGATAATGATTTTTTCACATAATTTTTAATATCGTAAACTAGCTCTCTTATTATGCAACTTTTATATACAGTAGGTAATTTTTTGTATAACAACTTGTTTTGACAAATTCTACAAGTGGTTAAAATAAATGACTCAACCTAGAAAACATCATCAGAAATTGATATTGATATTTTCGAGATACCACTGCTCTCCGGTACTAAATTTTCAACAGCGCTCCATTGCCAAATACTTTTTGGCTGCATGTATTTTGACTTTGACTTACGAGTGCTTCGGTGGGATCAATTTGACCAATTTGCGAGTTAGCTACTGCAGCAGCTGTCACGAATGCACCAAACGCTTGATTAGGAAGGTCTGGAAGATCTGCACAATATTCAGCTTGACCTAGAATAAAGCGTAGAGAAAGAAATTGATTAAAATACAATCGCGATATTTCTCAAGTAAAAATTTCATAAAAAAATAGCACGCCAAGTTTCTACAGGGTGCGGCACAGAGGATGGACGGTTTTAAAAAAATCATAAAATAGTTAATTTTTACCCGAAAACAAATTTATTGATGGAATCAGGTTCACAAGGAAATAGCATTTGAGACAGTCAAGTTTGGAAAATCACATCAGGCATGTGGTGGACGAAATCGTTGATGCATTGCTGGAGGCGTTCTTGAAAGTTCGCGTAGACTCTCTCCAACATCGCTCTCTCAACTTGGGCGACTTCCACGCGAATTTCGCCCTTCAATTCGTCCAGCGTTCGGGGCTTGTTCGCGTATACTCTATCCTTGAGGTGTCCCCATAAGAAAAAACCGCATATGGATAAATCTGGGGACCGAGGAGGCCAATGAATATCGCCAAACCTGGAAATAAGGCGACCAGGGAAGAGAGGGCGAATAACGTTCATGGATGCTCGGGCTGTGTGGGCGATCGCCAGTTCACGATAACATCACGACCATTACCGTCTTCGAGGAAGTAAGGGCCAATGATATTGATGAAGTTTGCGATACAGCGCACTTTTGGGCTGTGCAGCGGTCTTTCGTGTAACTGTTGCGGATTTTCATTAGCCCAATAACGACAATTCTGCTGGTTAACCATGCTGTTTAGGTGAAAGTGGGCTTCGTCACTCATAAACAAAATGAGGTTCTCATTTTGATCGATCAGTGCTTCCATCTCACGTGCGAAGTTCATTCGTTGTGCATAATCTCCGGGCTGTAACTGTTGCACAATAACCAATTTGTAGGGGTGAACGCGGAGATCCATATGCAAAATTCGCCTTACCGAACGATCACTAAGGCGAAGTGCAGCAGCATGTTTCCAGGCAGATCGAGTCGGACTGCGAAGAAAGACCTGTCGAACGCGTTCAACATTTTTAGGAGTTCGAACCGTTCGCGGCGCTCCCCTTGGTCTTCTGTTGATCAGTTTACCACGCCTGCGAAGTGATTCAACCCAACGAAGGCTGGTGTTTCGAGATGGAACACCTCTATTCCGACGAATGTTGAAGTGGCGACGAAACTCGCATAACGACAACTGGTAAAATAATGCTAGGATCTCACGAGTCAAACGGCACCCTCCCCATCCCTCTTGTAGACGGAGGCGAAGAGTACTACCCATCTCAAAAACGTCCGTCCTCTGCCGCATCCTGTATATAGTGGGTCCTAATATCTCTTTACAGATATAGGGAATGGAAGATATAAATTCATAACTGGTAAATATCGATCCCTTTAGAGGAGGGCTAAGAATTCAAACGCATTGTCTCTAAGCTTTTTACGTCCGATTTTCGAAATACTCCTTCGCTTGAGAGATATATACCCCCTAAAAGACGCATTGAGGAGAATATTAAACTAAGCCAATTACAATTTTAATTAGACCAAAAAATTTAATTAACTATATGACAGCTAACAGCTTGAATTGACCACCGATTTCAAAAAGATTAGATTAGAAAAGAGTAGATTAGTAGATACTTGAATCAATGAAACTAGTTTAATTCAATTTAAACGCAATATTTTAATTAAATTTAGTAAACCGTTTACTTACATTGTTGATTCAAAATTATTGAACTATTAAAATGAGTTTACCCGCTGAAACACTTTAATTATACAGGGTGTTCCTTAATGATATGCGAATATTTAAGGGTGTGAATCCACATGAAAAATTAATGTTAGTTTGCTTTATAAACTATGCTCCAAAAATGTTTCCTTACAAGAACTCGGGGTGTTGAAGTTTTAGGAAAAAAATGGAAATTAATTAATATTTTCAGAACCGCTTCACTGATACTTAGTACGTAGTGAAAGTTAATCAAGTTGCATTTTTGTCAATGCAAAAATAATTTTTAGCTTTAACAGTGGAGTATCTACGGGTATTGACTTCGATATTTTTTAAGAAAAAAATGGTACGCCAATAATTTTTTGCCAAATAAAAATTATTCTTGAATTCCCCGTTCAATTTAAAACAAATGATCTTCTCTTGAGTTGCTTTCCCTCGATGCGCCACGTTTGAGTAAAAAAATAAAAACCGTTCTATTGTTTGAGAAAATTAATGTGATAATTGAAGAATGCAGTTGCTATGAAATATGTCACTGGCTTTAGACATCTGACAAGTCTCTGTCATTCAAATCTGTTCGCTGTGACATCTTTATCATTATTTATTTTTTACAATCTTCTTAATAATGGTGAATTACGTATATCGCCTTGTCGACGGTAATGGTGAGCAAGCCAGACGGATTTATCACCAGAGATATCCCGATCGTGCTTTGCCAGATAGTCGAACCTTTTCTAATATTCATCGTCGTCTTATTGAAACTGGTTCTCTCCGCAAAAGGAACATCTTTGTAGACCTCTAAGTGTGAGAACACCTGAAATTGAGCAAGCAGTGCTGCACGAAGTCGAAGAACATCCTGAAACGTGTACGAGGAAGATCGCTAGACACTTAAATATTTTCCATCAAATTGTTTGGAGAATTTTAGTGGATTCTTTGTTATATCCTTACCATATTTTAAGAGTACAGGCACTTCCCATTGATTTTCCAAGGCGTGTAACCTCTTATGGGTGGTATCTCCAAAAAAATACACAAAATCCTCAATTTGAATCAATGATTCTGTTCACGGACGAAGCAAATTTTTCTCGAAATGCCATTCAGAATTTCCACAATAATCAGTTGTTTTTCATGAAACTTCAACACCCCGAGTTTTTGTAAGGAAACATTTTTGGACCATAGTTTATAAAGCAAGCTAACATTAATTTCTCATGTAGATTCACACCCTTAAATATTCGCATATCATTAAGGAACACCCTGTATCTAGTGAATTTGTTTAACTAGTTCAGGAAACAATATTTTTATTTTATTTTGGGTGACCTTTTTTCTCAATCACCCTTCATGTGCTATTGTAATAAACTTTTTTTGCTGAACGCTTAGTCTGAAGTTTTGATCATTTAAAGAACTACCTGAAGTTTGAGCCAGTGCTTCAACCTTTGGAACAGGTTCTGAAAGAGGATAATTCTTGGTATTTGTTCCAAATTCTTGAGTTGCCGTTGATAGTGGTCTCTCTAACATTGTGCCGCCACTTGAAAATCTACTATTACTCAATAGTTCCTTGGGGCATTTGTTCAAAATAAACTGAAATAAATACGAGTACATTTTAATATTCAACACATTAATAATAATAATATGTTTATTCACGTAACATACAAATATAACTAAAACTAACATAGGTATACGTAAATAAACTGAATTTACCCACAGAAGAATAAATTCTTGTGCGTGTGAATTAACTTATATCTTACATAAATATACATATATACAGGGTGTCCCAGAAGTCGACGTCAAGCCGAAACCGGGTGATAGGCAAAGTCATAACAGCTATCAGAAAAATATTTAAAAAAATTTTATGTACGTGTTTTGAAAATTATAGGTCTTTGAAAAAGATATAGAAATTTCACACCCTACGGCAGTCTGTCAACTCCTGTTACTACAAATTTATTTTTTTTTGGATTTTATTTTTACAATATAATGATGAATAATGCATCTTCAAACTGGTGTCTCAACCTTACTGCCAACTTTTCTCGTTCAGGAAAAATTGCCACTTATTTCCCAACCAAGTATTCCAAAGTAAAACTTTGCTCAACTTTAACTGGCTGTACTGGAAAAAATGTACTACGAGAGTTTAGCAAGTAACCTTAAAAGTTGACGCATTTAATAATGATTCCAAAATGGATAACACTTAGAAGATTACTCGTTAACTTATGCACAATTTTTATTTGAAAAAAAACTGATGAAAATTTTTCAAAACTTCCTAATTAAACAGCGATTATGAAAACGCACAAGGACCCTTAAGGATAACTGTTTGCACAACAGTGGGCGTCAAAATGCTGCTGATGAAGATTCACCTTCACAGCAAATGCTCAAACTGTTTTCCTTCAGCCGCAATATACGCTCGACATCTTAAAAAAGATCGGGTTATTAAACGAGCGAATCCACGGTTATTAACAAACTCAGCTGCTTCCAATAGTCTTTGCCGCAGCTCAGCTACATATTGAATCGGCTTGAAATACACTTTTTCTTTTACAGTTCCCCAGTAAAAAAATCTAAAGGATTCAAATCAGGTGATCGGGCTGGCCACGGTATTGTACCAGACCGCCTTATCCATCTGCCTGGAAAGTTTTGATCGAGATACTCTCTCACTGCTGAAACCACATGTCCCTGTAAATACTCAGTGGCACGTCCACCAATAAATTTTGTACATGATTTTTCAAAAAATCCAAATAAACTTCAGCAGTCAAAGTCTCTGGGAATTCAAACGGACCGATTATTTTACCATTTAAAATTCCTGTCCAATAGTTTATCTTGAAGCGATATTGAGATTTATCTTCTCGTGTAAGTTATGCAGGTTCATGTACACATCTTTCTTAAATGTGGTCTCATCCGACCATAAAATTTTTTCAAAGGACTGTGGATCTTTCCTGTGTCTTTCTAACATTGTGCGACAAAAAGCAGGAGAGGTTGAATACGCTGTATGTGGTATGGATGAAGCACATCACTTACTTGCTATTGCACACTTTGATACCGATCAGTACTCCTTCGTTTACTGCGCATCTTTACATGTTCGTGCTTGTTGATTTCGTACTGTTACTAATTTTGGATTCGTGAACTGGACTGTTGATCGCTTGTGATTTGGATTTGGACTGTTTAATTGCTCTTCAAAACAACGTTTGCTTTCCTTAGACTATCTTTGATACTGTGATTGTGCAGTGCCGCTATGTCCGTGTACACCGTACAAGAATATGCTAACATGCACCTCATTTATGGGGAATGCAGATGCAACGCTAGTGCTGCAGCGAGACTGTGAGAGGTACCCGAATGCAGCTCGTCATCCAGATCATCGAGTGTTCACAAATGTGCACCGCTTACTGTTCTCAGAGGGCCAACTACCAAACCAATCACACGGTGAGGGAAGATCTTTCCTTCCTTACGAAGACGTGGTGCTAGGAGCTGTCGAAGAAGACCCGAGTACTTCAGTGCGTGCAATAGAACTAAAAACAGGTGTGCCCAAAAGTACAGCCCATAGAATCTTGCAAAAAAACGTGCTCCATCCATACCACGTACAGCGTGTTCAAGCTCTTCTGCCCCGAGATTATGAGCCCCGAGTTGCTTTTTATCGCACAATGTTAGAAAGGCACAGGGAAGATCCACGGTTCTTTGAAAAAATTTTATGGTCAGATGAGACCACATTTAAGAAAGATGGGTACATGAACCTGCATAACTTACACGAGTGACACGTAGCAAACCCACATTTGATGAGAGAAGATAAATCTCAATATCGCTTCAAGATAAACCATTGGACAGGAATTTTAAATGGTAAAATAATCGGTCCGTTTGAGTTCCAAGAGACTTTGACTGCTGAGGTTTAGTTAGGTTTTTTGCAAAATCATTTAGAAAATTTATTGGAGGACGTGCCGCTGAGTATTTACAGGGACATGTGGTTTCAGCATGATGGCTGCCCAGCGCACTATGCACTCTCAGTGAGAGAGTATCTCGATCAAAACTTTCCAGGCAGATGGATAGGAAAACAGTTTGAGCATTTGCTGTAAAGGTAAATCATCATCAGCAGCATTTTGACGCCCACTGTTGTGCAAACAGTTATCCTTAAGGGTCCTTGTGTGTTTTCATAATCGCTGTTTAATTAGGAAATTTTGAAAAATTTTCATCAGTTTTTCTTCAAATAAAAATTGTGCATAAGTTAACGAGTAATCTTCTAAGTGTTATACCATTTTGGAATCCTTATTAAATGCGCCAACTTTTAAGGTTACTTGCCAAACTCTCGTAGTACATTTTTTCCAGTACAGCCAGTTAAAGTTGAGCAAAGTTTTACTTTGGAATACTTGGTTGGGAAATAAGTGGCAATTTTTCCTGAACGAGAAAAGTTGGCAGTAAGGTTGAGACACCAGTTTGAAGATGCATTATTCATCATTACATTGTAAAAATAAAATCTAAAAAAAGTTAATATTTGTAGTAACAGGAGTTGACAGACTGCCGTAGGGTGTGAAATTTCTATATTTTTTTCAAAGACCTATAATTTTCAAAACACATACATAACATTTTTTTAAATATTTTTCTGATAGCTGTTATGACTTTGCCTATCACCCGGTTTCGGCTTGACGTCGACTTCTGGGACACCCTGTATATATATATATATATATGTATATAACTGCTTTGGCGTAAAGATAAATAAAAAAAATCACAGTGGAGCGCGAGTGCCGTTGGATGCAGAAAAGAAAGAAACCGACCGAAATTTGAGGATTCCAATTTAATTACCTTTGGAGTAATTAGCATCATTCTCATTACCTTAGTTTAGGATGGTGTGGGGGTCATTTATAAGTCAGTTGATTAATGTATACAAAAGATAAGACTAATATTTATGTGCATTGTACTTGACGTCATTCTTTGCATGACGATACTTAAGTAGTATTTATGTATCTAGGTTCGTGTGTAGAGGAATTCAAAAACAGGCGTATACGGATGCATGGGAAGTACATCAGATCAATCTTTGGAACAATTTTTTTGGATCGTATGAGTGTCCTCATCATACCTTATAAAACAATGCAATGGCAAGGCCTTTCCTATAAGTAGGTGTTGACTCAGGAAGCTCCCAGGTAGGTTGAATCTCCTTATCTAGAGACCCGAAAGCTTGCGCTAACACCTTGTTATCGAAGAGTACTTTGCCTTTGAGCAGTGCTTCGGTTTTTGAAGCATGAACAAATTGAGGGCTGATACCTCCATAAACGATTCTTGCTGATTGTACCACGTATTTGGGTGACAGGCTGAACAAGAATCCGGCGTTTACCTCTGCATGCGCGTTCTGTGCGCGAGGCATTATCTGAAAGAACCAAAAATGAAAAAAAAAAATACATAAAAATTATTACTTCTGTAATATACTAAGTGACATATAAATCCGAACACCCGGTTTAAATGGTTTTATTTTAATAAAATTTTGTATAAGTACTTAATGAAGCATAATAAGTAAATGATAAAAATTTCAAAATGATTGCACTGCTTTAAAGCCCTTTGACCTTTAATAATGTGTGGATGCACCCTGATGTGCTACGCATTCTCCAACGCGCCTAGGCATGCTTCTGATCAGGTAGTCAATGTCCTCCTGTGGTATCTCATTCCAGGCAACCACTAACTCCTCTCGAAGTGCTTCTAGAGTCTGAGGAGGACGTTGCAAATTGAGCAATCTCCTACCCATCATATCCCACACGTGCTCAATTGGGGATAAGTCGGGAGATCTTGGTGGCCATGGTAACAATGTGACATCATTATGTTGAAAGAAGTCTATTGTGACTCTTGCAACATGTGGTCGGGCATTATCTTGTTGGAAAGTTGGATCTGCCAGGGTGTCAAGATAGGGTAAAAGATGGGGTTCTAGAACTTCGTGGATATAACGCTGCGCGTTCATGTTACCTCTGATGAAGATTAAAGGTGCCTGGAACCATAAGCTATAGCACCCCAAACCATAACTCCAACAGTGTGATGAACATGTCTTTCAACAAAAAATCGTGGATTCCTCCTTTCACCACGTCGCCTTCTAACCCTGGCACGACCATCGTGCATGCCTAAACAAAATCGAGACTCGTCACTAAAGACAATACTGTTCCATTCCTGATCCCAGAGTGACCGATGTCTGCACCACTCAAGGCGATTACGTCGGTGTTCTCGAGTTAAAGGGAGGACCCAGTGTGGCCGGTATGAAAACAAGCCAAAACTTCTCATTCGTCGGTAAACACTTCGCATGCCAATAGGTCTTTCGTGTTCTGCAAACCATTCATTTGCAGTGGACCTGGTAGTGGAGAAACGGTCCCTTAAGGCCAATAATCTTAGGCGGCGATCTTCACGGTCTGTTGTTCTACGGCGGCGTCCAATGCCCCTTGCTCTTTGCGTACGGCCTTCTCGAAGCCATGCCTGACAAAACCTAACCACAGTGTCTACACTTCTTTGCACTCTAACTGCAATTGCCCGAAAAGAAAGTCCAGCTTCCCGAAGTCCCACTATACGGCCCCTATCAAACTCACTAAGTTGACGAAATCGTACAGGTCTCCGTACTCTAGGCATCGTAACCGATCGTAAAGGATGTCAAGAACCAAAATCCGCCAACGTTGATTCTTTACTGCGGCTGAAATATTCATTTTTAAAGCGTTAGTGAATTAAAAAAAGCAGTCTAAAAACCGGAAGGTCCAACTGATAAGGCTGAAAATTTTTTCACTTGTTATTTACAGTAAGATAAATATATTCACCAACTTTTATTAAAATAAAACAATTTAAACTGGGTGTTCGGATTTATATGTCACTTAGTATATAAAGCCATGTACACATGTAACAACACCGCAACCCGAACCACGCCACGGTCCGCAGCGCGCGCATTTTGACGAACAAGATTGCAACGAACATCACCACACACCGAACGAAGTCGTGCAACCACATCGTGTAACAAAATGACGATCCAATTTTGTTGTTTGTCGTTCAGTGAAAGACAAATACTAGCCGGAAATGGATAGAGCAGTAGCAGCAGCTGCCTATATTTACATTCACTACCAATTATCCAAAAACAAGCGACGACGACGTCCGAGATGATGGTAACAAACGCAGTTATACAGGGTGTAAACGTTATGGTAGTCATTATTGAAATGGTTAATAGGGGATGTCAAGACAAGTCAAAAAGTTCATATGACCCATGCTCCAAAAGTCAATAGATTTTTTTCTAAATGGCTTTATAGCTTACAACTTTAAGTGCCTTATATCGACCACAATCACCACAATCTTACTAATTTTTATAATCTAATCTAAAACGTTTTTTTTTTAACAAATACATGGCATAACGTTTTTCTAAGTTAAGCCAAAATTTGTAGTCAGTAAGTACGTAAGTTTCATCAAATTAAATATTTAAAACACACATGACAACAGTGCGTCGGTCATCATCACTCTTATCGAACCGGCAATCGATCGCAAACGGTAACAGTGGTTAGTATGTTGTTGTTTTTGTTCGCGTACGTCGTCGTGTTTATTTACAATGTTGTCGAATCAAGAGTTTGCCGACATGTTGATAGTTTACGGTGAAGCTCGTCAGAATTCAAATCTTGCAGCTCACATTTCGCCAACGGGTACACCCAGACAGAAGCACATTTGTGCAAGTGTATTCTTGACGATCAGGTAATTGGCCCTTTCGAGTTACCCCCAAAGTTGTCAGGAGAAGGATACCTTAGCTTTCTAGCCAATAACCTACCAGAACTTTTGAAACAAACCTTAGACAACATACCATTACAACGGAGACAGAATTTGTGGATTCTTAATGACGGGGCACCACCACACATTTTTTAGAGTCGTCATTCAGTATTTGAATGAACAATATCCAAATCGCTGGATCGGTCGAAATGCTCCTGATCCTCGAAAATGTCCAGCAAGATCTCCTGACCTCAATCCGATGGATTTCTGGTATTAGGGAGAACTTAAAGGGATGGTTTATCGGGCTGGTCCAACAACAACTGAAGCACAACTTCGCGAAAAAAATTTTAATGCGGCTGGAATAATAAATAGACAACTTCGGGGAACTAGAGTAAGAAGAAACTGGGTTTGTCGTAATGAAGCTTGTGTGGAAAGTGGGGGACGGCATTGTGAACACCTTCTTTCAATACAAAAAAGGGCAGTGTGGGTTTTAAAAGAAAAACAATGTATGTATCAAAAATGGGTTCCCTATTATTATAAGTGGATTTTTTTTAATACATTCAATACTTTTTCTTCATTATGCCATGCAGTGTCGACCTAGGTATTCTCAGGTAGGTACAGAACATCGAGGATTTGCAATGACCAAATCACCCACTCGACGCACATTTTCTTCGGTTAACACAGTAGGTGTGGGGCCAGGAATGGGTTGACTAAAAGTAGAGCCTGTTCCACGGAACCTCTTAATCCACCTTTTCAATAGGTTCTTACTTGGGGCATCTCTTGGTCGGCGAATGTTGTATCGTGTACAAGGTTTCCGATGGGCAGCTGTGTATGAATCATCACTATTAAAGCAAGCCTCGTTAGCAAAACCACGTTGCGCTCTGGTTCAACGTTCCATTGTGACTATTTAACCCGCACGCCGAACGCGTCAATCAAGATCTCTCGCCATTTCCTCGCGTATACGGTTGTCGCGTAATTCAAATTTGAAATGTGAACTTTCCCACTAGACACCCTGTACAATGGCGAATTTTGACAATTAATGCACTATACGTACAAAAGTTTATGCATCAATATGGTATTTTTTAGCTGTTAATTTTAAAAAACTCATTGATAACACTGATCAACAGCCAAAAAATATCCTAAATAAAATCAACAAAATATTACTATTTTTAATGTGCTAAAACCGGAATGAAACTTATTTCTTCAATATTAGTTCAAGTTTTAGAGATACGGTAATTATATGTGTTCCTGCTGTGACAGTGTTAATATACTGTAATTCACAAGAATGCACGTGCTACATTTTTATATTCGGCAAGGAAAGATGATGTAATCGGCATGATTGTGTTACGTTATACATACGTGTACATCATATTGTTTTATATTAGCCATTTTTTCCTCAGTTGGCTGACAGCGTTCATGCAAGATGTCTCGAAAGTGTGTAAACAATCCAGATCAGTTTTGTTACGTGTGTGGTGATGTGACTTTTGCGTCTCAGAGACGGTCTATTACTCCACTAATAACAAAGGCATATCAGCTTTATTTCGGTTGTAAACTAGGTGATCAAGACAAACAGTGGGCACCCCACATCTGCTGTAATACATGTGCTTCAAGTCTGAGGAGCTGGTTAAATGGCAAAAAACGATCTATGCGCTTTGCTGTCCCAATGGTTTGGAGAGAGCCTACAAATCATATTAATGATTGTTACTTTTGCATGGTACCTTATGTTGGACAAGCCACAGGTATGTCCAAGAAAAAATAATCGGTTATTAACTACCCAAACATACCATCTGCGATGAGACATGTGCCTCACAGTGACGAAAATCCTATTCCAAAACCCCCAGAATCCTACACTTGCGAATTTTTCAATATGGAGAATAACTTGGTTTTCTGCAGTAACATTAACGGCTTACTGGCGGCTTTAAATATAAACTATAACCCAGAAGAATGGAGATTGCTTAAAGACAGTTCAACATTGAGTTTAAAGGCAGTGTTATTGCATATTGGAAATATTTTACCATCTCTTCCTGTAGGGTATGCAGTTCACATGAAAGAATCATATGACAATATGAAGTACCTATTGACATGCATAAAATACGTTGAGCACCTATGGCATATTTGTGGCGATTTGAAAGTTGTTGCACTTTTACTTGGGCTGCAGCTAGGCTACACAAAGTTTTGCTGTTTTTTGTGTGAATGGAACAGTCGGGCAAAGGCACTTCATTACACCAGACAAAACTGGCCTGTTCGTCAATTCCTAGAGCCAGGTCAAAAAAATGTACAGCATATGCCATTAGTAGATTCGAAAAAAAATGTATTACCACCACTGCATATCAAGTTGGGCCTAATGAAAAACTTTGTCAAGGCATTAGATAGACATGGGTCAGCTTTTACCTGCGTCAGAAATTTCCAAGACTAAGTGAGGCAAAGGTTAAAGAAGGTATTTTTGTTGGGCCACAGATTCGAAATATTTTGAAAGATACACATTTTGAAAACAGTTTAACAGGTATTTAAAAAACTGCTTGGAATGATTTCCGTCTGGTGGTCACTAATTTCTTGGGAAATAGAAAAGCTGACAACTATAAAACCCTTGTCAAAAATATGCTGTCATCGTATCAAAAGATGGGCTGTAATATGTCCCTTAAGATACATTTCCTACACTCACACCTGGACTTTTTCCTGACAATTGCGGAGCCGTAAGTGATGAGCACGGCGAACGTTTTCATCAGGATATTTCAACAATGGAAAAAAGGTACCAGGGAAAGTGGAATCCTTCCATGCTTGCAGACTACTGTTGGTCTCTTGGTAGAGATGCTCCAGAAACGATCCATAAAAGAACAGCAAAAGGACAGCGCATATAGTGATTCTTATAAGTATATGAATCTTGTTACTTTTTTTAATATATCCTTAAAAATAAAAAGTTTTTATTCTAAACCGCAACTAATTTTTTAATTTCATTGTCGTTTTTGGATTCAGCACCCCAAAATTAACAAAGAGGTGCACTTTTCCCACAAGATACAATTAAAAAACTAAAATTTGTTGTCCAGTGTAATTAAAAACATATTTTATTGGTTGTACAGCTTCGCTCCGGGAGGTAAAACAGCAGGTGGGAGGGAGGTATACGAATCGGTAGATATAAGCTTTACTCTGACCCACTACCGAGAAAAAGTCAAAACGGAATAGATATTTAGAATTTTCAAATGGCAGATTTACCTTGTACGTGATCCATTTGTAAGAATCAGTGAGCGGTTTCAGAATTATTTGCTTAATAACTTTTTTTGACATATCCAGTCGTAAAAAATCTTGCGGAGAACACAGAACCTCTTCCTCATTTGTATCAACTAAAAACAAACTTGGCTGTAACGAATAGCTATCAGTCATTGCTGACAGTACCTATTGATAATGTTGCCTTGAAGGTTTCCATAATAAGAAATATGTCTGAAGGGAACTCGTTGTGAGCATGCTTAATCATCAGGTTGCCCGCTACGGTTCCAATCTGTAAATAAAATATAACATTATGACATAACTAGCAAGAATATTAATCCTGATCAATTACTGTTTAAAATTTGGCGCACTTCCAACAAAACTGAAGTGTTCTACCATAACTCCTGTTTCTAAAGTTAAGAATTCTGAGTTGTACACCAATATGCTGCCAATAAATGTTCCGCCAGATGTTGAAAAAGTTTTTGAAGAAATTATTTACGAACAGACCATCAAATTTACTGAGAGAAATAACATTTTAACCAAATTTCAAGCTGGATTCAGGAAGAAATACTCAACTGAAACAGGAACAGAAATGGAGACAATCGGAAACGTACAGTGACAGTGTTTTTGGACTTCAAAAGGGCGTTTGAGACTACTGACAGGGATAAATTACGTAAGTACAAAATTGCATCACTACGGCTCTAAAGGATCTGTATTCAAAATTCTACAAAACTATTTAATTGAAAGAAGTCAAAAAACCGAAATCGGATCTACATTATCTAGATCAAAAAAAATATCTGTTGGTAGTAAACTAGATCCACTACTATTTATTTTATACATTAATGACATTTGTAATATTTTAGATTATTGTAAACTTCAGATATTTGCAGACGATACATTAATATACATATCAAATGAAAATATAGACACTGCTTTAACAAAGCTAAATTCTGACTTGGCAAAAATCGTAAATTGGTATAATGTAAATAAACTAAAATTGAATACTTCTAAAACAAAATGTATGCTAATAGGGAAATACCTAAATGAAAATACTATCACAGTTAGGATAAATGGAGAAATAATTGAAAATGTTGAATCAATTAAATATTTAGGTATATACAGGGTGGCCAAACACGTGACGTCATAAAAAAAAAATTAGATTCCCCACATCGAGAGGAACCCAAATCACCCCCATATATATGGTCCGATTTTGTTTAGTTTAGGAGTTATGATTTTTTTTCGGATTCTTCGAGAATTTTTGAGTTCTGTGTTTATTTTTACCATAACTTCGTTAATAATTGTGATAAATGCCTGCTTTTTTCACGATTATGTAGCTAAGACCTAAGGCTTAACTATCATATAATCATTCAAGTCATGTAACTAATACTACTTTTTAATTTTTTTCAAAATCTTCGAACATAACAAAAAAGTAAAAAAGTGCAACAACTTTGAACGTTTATAAAAAATTGAAAAAACATGTTCTTACTATTCGTAAGTATCTTAAAAACTTCCTTACGGTATCAGCTATTTACCGTAAAAATTTCATCAACCTAGCTTTACTACATGCTACCGTAATTGTGGCTCAAATAGAACCGAACCCAAAATTGGATAACCCTCTGCTCAATAGAAATTGTTAGTTTCGGAAAAAAAATTTGCAAAAACCACAAAAACACGTTTGATTTTTACTGAACAGCAGATTATTATTCATTTATGTTATTTACAAGAGGTTTTCAAAATGTCTGCCTCTAACAGAAATGCACAGTGTACACCTAGGTATGAAATTTTGTTTTAAATCTCTAAATGCTTGTGTGTTGTTTTTCAACACATGTGTCGCTTCTTGAATTTTTTTCCTCAATGAATTTTCATTTGCACATTTTTGGGCGAATGTTATGTCTTTAAAATATCCCCAAACAAAAAAATCAATGGGGAGCGTGGAGGCCATCGTATCGGTCCGTTTCGTCCGATCCATCTGTCTGGGAACCTATCGTTTAAGTAGTTTCGCATGATCGTTGCGTTGTGGCATGGTGCACCATCATTCTGGAACACTATGTTCCGTCTGGCTTCCAGGCTTGAATCTTCCAGCAATAATGGTAGGCTATTTTCAAGGAAGCTTTTGTAGGCTACCGAATCCAACCTTGACGGCAGTTCAAATGGACCGATAAATTCCATATTGAATATTCCTGACCACATGTTCACACTAAAACGGTGTTGAAATGTCGACGGCCTTGAGTGGTGGGGGTTTTCAACAGCCCAAGTATGTAAATTATGGATATTGAATATCCCTGTTCTTTCAAAACGTGACTCGTCAGTCCATAAAATTTTATCAAAAAAATCGGGATCCTCTCGTTGTCTTCGCAGCATTGTCTCGCAGAAATCCACTCTTAACTGGTAATCTGAAGGCATCAACGCTTGAACTCTTTGAACATGATAGGCATGATAACCTTCTTCATGAAGAATATTTTGTATCGATGTTCGTGGTATTCTAAGGTTTTGTGCCATAGATCTCGTACTCGTTGAGGGATTCCGGCTAATTTCTTCAAGTACTTCTTCTCTGCGATCTGGATCAGCTGTAGGATATCCTTCATTGCTTCCTCGTCCTGGAATGCGGCCTGCCATGAAAGTGTTATGTGTGTTAATAAAAACACGGTGGTCTGGGTAATGCTCAGGTTGTGGTCCGCCTCGGCGTATAAGTTGTTCCCGGTACAGCTGAGCATTACCCAGACCACCAGAATGATGGTGCACCATGCCACAACGCAACGATCGTGCGAAACTACTTAAACGAAAGGTTCCCAGACAGATGGATCGGACGAAACGGACCGATACGATGGCCTCCACGCTCCCCTGACCTCAACCCCATTGATTTTTTTGTTTGGGGATATTTTAAAGACATAACATTCGCCCAAGAATGTGCAAATGAAAATTCATTGAGGAACAAAATTCAAGAAGCGACACATGTGTTGAAAAACAACACACAAGCATTTAGAGATTTAAAACAAAATTTCATACGTAGGTGTACACTGTGCATTTCTGTTAGAGGTAGACATTTTGAAAACCTCTTGTAAATAACATAAATGAATAATAATCTGCTGTTCAGTAAAAATCAAACGTGTTTTTGTGGTTTTTGCAAATTTTTTTTCCGAAACTAACAATTTCTTTTGAGCAGAGGGTTATCCAATTTTGGGTTCGGTTCTATTTGAGCCACAATTACGGTAGCATGTAGTAAAGCTAGGTTGATGAAATTTTTACGGTAAATAGCTGATACCGTAAGGAAGTTTTTAAGATACTTACGAATAGTAAGAACATGTTTTTTCAATTTCTTATAAACGTTCAAAGTTGTTGCACTTTTTTACTCTTTTGTTATGTTCGAAGATTTTGAAAAAAATTAAAAAGTAGTATTAGTTACATGACTTGAATGATTATATGATAGTTAAGCCTTAGGTCTTAGCTACATAATCGTGAAAAAAAGCAGGCATTTATCACAATTATTAACGAAGTTATGGTAAAAATAAACACAGAACTCAAAAATTCTCGAAAAATCCGAAAAAAAATCATAACTCCTAAACTAAACAAAATCGGACCATATACATATATGGGGGTGATTTGGGTTCCTCTCGATGTGGGGAATCTATTTTTTTTATGACGTCACGTGTTTGGCCACCCTGTATATATATATTGATAGTAAACTAAAGTTTAAGGATCACTATGAATACATTATTTCAAAAATTTCAAAAAAACTAATTAATTTTATAGGGTTTCTCATAGTCTTGGTACCTATTCCAAGAAAATAGTTTATAGCTAGTCTGTCAAATAATCTATTGATAGTGATCCTCAAACTTTAATTTGCTATCAATATATACAGGGTGGCCCATCCATGTGTGGACGGAATATTACTCATAAACAAATTAATACATTTTGGGAAAATCTATTTATAGCATGTTATACATGACATTTGAGAGCACATTTCTAAAATATTGGCAATTATACAGGGTTTCCCAATTTTGACCTACATATCAAAGTTGTGATTTTTTTAAATAGAATGCCTCAAATTTTATAGCATATTTGGATAAACCAATTTAAAAGAAGAAGATTGATATAACATGCTAAGAGGTTTTGGTAATTAGATACTGAGATGTAAGGTGTTTTGTCTAGAAAAACCGTCCACTTCGGCAACCCCTCAATCCGCCATTTTGAAATTTGGAGTGCTGAATTTTGTATCAAAAAACTATCTCAGTAGCTAATTACCAAAACCCAATAGTATGTTTTCTTTTGAATTGGTTTATCTAAATATGTAATAAAAATTGAGGCATTCCATTTGAAAAATCACATCTTTGATATGTAGGTCGAAATTGGGACACCCTGTATAATGGCCAATATTTTAGAAATGTGCCCTCAAATGTCATGTATAACATGCCATAAATAGGTTTTCCCAAAATGTATGTTTATGTGTAATATTCCGTCCACACATGGATGGGCCACCCTGTATACCTACCCAAATATTTAATTGATTCAACTTTTTCAATTATTTAACCATTCAGCCTAACTGTGACAGTATTTTCATTTAAGTATTATCCCTATTAGCATACATTTTTATTTAGAAGGATCTAATTTTACTTTATTTGCAGTTAACTAATTTTTTGTTTCTGCCAAGTCAAAATTCAGCATTTTGAAAGTAATGTCTATATTTTCATCTCATATGTATGTATATCAATTTATTTAAATGAGAACAACATATTTGTCTGTACGTGTCAATGAGTCTACGAGGTAAAATAGTTTTTATTACATTTCTCACTGGCACACTCGCAACTTGCTTTATATGATGAGCCATGTCGTTCAAGTACTGAAATCCCTTGTATTCATTCGCTGTATTTTCAAATATCTCCACCGACTTGGTTAAAGCAGTGTTCGCTCCTAGGATCACTGAGTTGGAGTCAACATAAGTGGTGGTCAATTCTTTGACATCTGTTATGTCTATGTACAGTTGTGGAGGATTTTTAATGTAATAAACACCTGAAATAATACTATTAATAAAATAAAGACAAACAGAGGGCCAAAGACAGACAATACTTCAGCAAAATATGTCAGGAGTTCATAAAATCTTTCACAAATCGTCGCTGGAAAGACAAAAGGACGTAAGTCGGAAAATGCCCATTTGGAGTTAGCACCACCAGAAATCTCTAAGAGTGGATATCTACAATTTGGCGAAGTGGCGTGTCGCTCCTCCTTATAGTTAACGTAATATGGCGGATCAGTATGTGGGTGGAACTCCTATTCTTACTAGTGCTAAAAGGATAAACGGGCATATATCGCGTCTCCTGTAAAATAGCTGAATTGGAGTTACGCCTCTTTGTCTTTCCACCTACGAAATATAGGAGGAAACTTGGCATATAATATAAAAACTAAGTGGTGACGTTCAGTCACTTGAAACAAGACTGAATAATTTATCTGTAATACTGAAGTAGACTGTCGGGATGTTTTCAATGCCATTATGACTAAAAATAAAGAAAATGTCAGGAGTTGATGGAATTTTTTCTCGGGTTACTTTTGCAGTATGAGGCTTGGCGTTATCCTGTAAGAATATCACTTTCTTCCGATTGATCAAAGAAGGCTGTTTCTTGATGAGTGCTGCTTGTACTCGCTGAAGCTGCTCACAATACAAGCTAGCAGTGTTCGTTTGACCCCTTTCCAAAAACTCATAATGGACAATTCCAGTAGCTGTCCACTTAACACACAACAAAACCTTAACGCTTAGAATTCGAATACAAGATCCATTTCTCGTCGCAGGTTAGTAACCGATTAAGAAATGGTTCATTAGCGCCGCGTGAAATGTTTGGTAAGACGACTTAATTTGTTATCATTTGTCAGTTCATGTGGGACCCATTTGCTTAATTGCCTCGTCTTTCCTAGCTGATGAAGATGCTAACGAATAGTTTCAGGACTCACTCTGAATATTTCTGCAAGTTCTTGGCACGTTGTCCTGGAATTTGCGTCCACAACCTGTCGAAGATCCTCGTTGTTCATGATTTCTGGTCTCCCTGAGCGCGGTTCGTCGCTCAAACTGAGATCTCCCATAGAAAAATTTTTAACCACTTATGTGCTGTTCGATGACTAATGGCATCATCGCCGAATACTGTACATATTTTTCGCGCCGCCGGTGAATTTTTTGGACCAAGTTTGCACTCATACAGCAAACAATTTCGAATTACGGTTTTATTCGTCGCCATTTTCAATTATTAAAACTAGATATACAGGGTGACAGGTAAGTAGGTGTAAAACATTTTAGGAGGTGATAGTACAGCTCCTTTGCTATCGAAATTAGTATATAATACCTATATTCAAAGGTTAAAAAGTTATGGAAGATTTATTTTTTTTAAAAAAACAACCCAGATTACAGAGTAAAATAGTTGAGATAAAAAAAGGTTGGTGATTAAACATTCTTTTTTTGGTGATTTCAGGTTATTATTTAAATAAATAATTCTCATAAATTAAAAAACATATGAAAACACTACTGAAAACGTATTTATTTTCATTTAAATGTTAAATGAAAATTTTCATTTTCAACTTTTACATTAAGAAGACTTTTTAATCAAAAAAATCATAATAAAAAAAATGTACAAATAACTGCAAAAACTTCCTCGTTTCATTAGGTTTCTAAAATGGTATAATAACACATCAGTAAGTAAACCATTTAACAAAACAATATTACTTTGCTAGAAAGAACCGCTAAGCGCATTTCATTGTACTGAGCGGGTAAGCCGAGCCTTTCATGGTTCGACCCTTTTTGGTATTTTTTGTGCCCTGTGCCGTTATTCGGGTTTAAGTATTCGGAATCTGCCGTCGCTCCTCGGAAGCAAGCTCTGCGTATGTTATGAATTGACACCGCTGACGGATCAAGGAAACGGAACTAACGCTTAGGTTAGTTACTAGAATATCAACCTTTAACGCGGTAGGACGTACTTTTACTTTTTTGATCAGTTTTAATAATGGCGAGTTACCGTAACAAAGAATACGCTGATATTCTGTTTTGTTATGGTTTAAGTGATGGAAATTCCGTTAAAGCCAGACGAGAATACGAAAACGGTTTTCCGAATCGGCGAATACCGAGTCATCGAGTATTTGCTTCTGTGTACCAACGCGTCAAGGAAAGTGGACAGGTTCATGAGAGACGTCATGATGCTGGTAGACCTCGGATGCTTGACGACGAAGATCGAGAGGCAATACTGGAATGCTACGGCAGAGACCCGACGACGTCTACACGAGTTATAGCAAAGCAGCTTGGTTTAACTCAGTGGAAAGTTTGGTTCGTTTTGCCCTTTCCATTACACACCGGTTCAAGTATTAGAAGAAGGAGGTCCCGCAAGAAGAATTGATTTTTGTCGATACAAGCTTCATCGGGATCAAGAAGAAAACGACTATTTAACTAAAATATTGTGGACCGACGAGTCTAAGTTTGACAGGGAGGGGACAACAAATTATCACAACTTACATTATTGGGCCCCACGAGAGGCAAATCCCCACATGGCAAAGCCAAGAGCCCATCAAAGAAGATTTTCGGCAAACGTGTGGATGGGAATCATTCATACGTATCTAATTGGACCAGTTTTTTTGCCTGAAAACCCGAATGGCGAATCCTATGAAAACTTTTTGAGATCCGAACTCTGGGAGTATCTCGAAGACCTGCCTCTGAATATCAGGATGCAGATGATCTACCAACACGATGGCTGTCCCGCGCATTTCCGTCTGGGTGTTAGACAGTGGTTGGACGAGAAATATCCTTGTCGCTGGATTGGCCGAGGTGGACCGACACCGTGGCCAGCGAGGAGCCCAGATTTAACACCGTGTGACTATTATTTATGGGGGCATATGAAGTCACTGGTGTACGCTGAGCCCATAGACACTCTTGCACAGTTGAAAGAAAGAATTATTGCTGCTGCTGACACTATCAGAGGACAACTAACTGGCCGCATCACGCGTACCGACATGAGAAAAAGACTACGGGCTTGCATAAGAAACGGCGGACGTCAGTTCGAACAACAATTGCAATGAATTTTACCTTCATTTCATTATTGTATGTTACTTACCAATTGTAGTAACTTTTATTCAGTTTTTATTATTCTGTAGTACAATTACAACTGTGTAAATAATCTAATCGTGTAACTTAACCGTAATTTAAAATAATAACTATCCCATAGCTTACAGTTACATTATTTTCACAAAAACACTTTCTTATCAATCAGAGAGTTGTGAAAATAGGAGACAAGCCATTGGTAAATTTACTCCCTATTGTTGTATTACAATACATTATGTTTAGTTTCACACAGTTTTTGTGCACTTATCATACCAATTTAGATTCCTTATGAAACAAGGATATTATTTAAATTGTTTGTACGTTTTTTTGGATACTGATTTTTCTGTAAAACACCTGTAAAACGTTATTTGTTTTTCTTGGTTAAACATTTTTGAATGAAAATAAATACGTTGTTTGGTATTGTTTTCGAATCTTTTTTAATTTATAATAGTTAATTATTGAGATAATAACCCAAAACCACAAAAAACAAATGTTTAATCGCCAACTTTTTTCTCTCTCGACTTTTTTACTTTAAAAAATCTTAAATCTTCAATAACTTTTCAACCTTTGAATATAGGGTATGGTATTATATACTAATTTCGATAGCAAAGGGGCTGTGCTATCACCTCCTAAAATGTTTTACACCTATTTACCTGTCACCCTGTATAATAATGTTCAGCAACTTTTTATGTGTGTGAGAAAAGAAGGATTGGTACGAGTAGTACTGGTAAAATAGTCAGTTTAGCGGGCGTCACCGCTATGCTGTGTAAAGGTTAAGCTTCAAAACGCTTGGAAGAAACAACATTGATGGAATAATCTCAAATAATAGACAGTAAATACTATCATCCTCACAAATAATATATTTCGGGTTTTTCTTCTCTTTCTGTTATTTCTTCTGCTATCTATTGCAATTCAACTTAAAATAATTGGTCAATGCACAGACATGGATAAGTTATATTTGTATACTCCTTTTATGTTACTTTTATTTATAGTGTAAATAAATATTATTTTATTTTTTTATTCAAAAACTGATACTACCATTTCGTGTAGGCAGAGTAACAAGAAAAGGTAAACACCTGCGTAAGTTTATATGATTTTAATAATTTTTAGCATATACGTTCAGTTTCTCTTACTAGTAAAATGATTAAATTTTAAACAGTTAGTATTATAGCTCCAGTAATTCAAAAGACATTGCCACCAAAAAGAAAGTTAGCAACAGAGAAATACGAAACCAAAGGGTTAACTACAAAAGAATTGCAACGTCTAGTGCTATTACAGCAGTACCAAACAAGTATGGGGTTATCCAAAACGGACGCAGGAAAGTAAACGCATACTAAAACAAGAAAGATTGATATTCAAATCAAGTTGGGTACTTTATTCTGAAGGTTCATTTATACCATTTATGTATGAAAAATAATATCGCTGAAATGTTCACCACGACTGGATTTACAGACGTCCACGCGATTGTCGAAATTTTCAATGACATTTTGCAACATGGTCGGTTCTATGGCATTTATCTCGGCAATGATGTTGTTTTTCTTGGAGGGTGGCTGGTTTATTGACGTAGACTTTGATTTTCAAATATCCCCATAAAAAGAAGTCGAAGGGAGTCAAATCGCACGATCTTGGTGGCCATGGCACATTTCCTCTGCGCGAAATCACGCGATCACCGAAGAAGGACTGCAATCGATGGATATTGACGTTGGTTGTATGGCATGTTGCACCGTCTTGTTGGAAATAAACATCGTCCATATCCATTCCTTCAAGTTGCGGCAAAAAATAGTCCTCTATCATCACGTGATATCGCTCAGAATTGACGGTAACGGCATCCCCGGCCGCATTTTCGAAAAAGTAAGGTCCGATGATGCCTTTTGACCACAATGCACACCGTCGCTAAACATGATTTTTGATGAAAAATTGGCATCAATTTGGCGGTGTTCAA